GACACACACACACACAGACACACACACACAGAGACAGACACAGACACACACAGAGACAGACACAGACACACAGACACTTAGTTTACGCATTTCTTAATTTGAATGAAAACTATCTGTTGTATGGTTTTCAGAGCTCCTGGGGTGAGCCTGACCTCCTGTGGCGGCAGAGGCTCCAGCGTGGGGATGACGTCGCTCTCCTCAGAGAAGTCTTTCTCTTCTTCTCCAAACAGGTTCATCTTTATGGCTCGCTGAGCGGCGGTCGCCGTGGCGTTCAGGTCCACCTCCAGCTCGGCGGTGCCAGTGGCGCTTGGGTCGGCGCTCGTGACGGCGCCCGTGACGGCGCCCGTGACGGCGCCCGTGACGGCGCCCGTGACGGCGCCCGTGACGGCGCCCGTGACGACGCCCGTGACGACGCCCGTGACGACGCCCGTGCCAACGCCCGTGCCGGTCTCCATGGGCTCCGTGTCCTCGGGGGCCTCGTCCCCGGCCCCCTCCTCTGCCAACACGCCTGTGTCCACCTTCACCACACGCATGTCCAGGACGCCGTCGATCCAGGCCAGCTCCGTGTCTTTGGCCCGACAGAAGAGCAGCGAGCTCACCAGAGAGTCTTTGAGACGCACCTGCAGGAGGCAAGTTTATTTATGTAGCACAGTTCATACACAAGGCTGGACTAGACACACTGACAAGGAACACAATAAATAATCACAGTCATTACAAAAGAGGAAAGATTAAATCCCTCAGTCGTTTGTGCAGCTCATCAGACACACCTCCTCTGTGTCCTCCTCTGTGTCCTCCTCTGGTCCCAACAGACTCAGGCTCACCTGGTAGATATGTGTGTGTGCGTGTGCGTGCGCATGCGCGTGCGCGTGCGTGTGCGTGTGCGTGTGCGTGTGTGTGTGTGTGTGCGTGTGCGTGTGTGTCTCACCTGGTAGATGTGCGTCTCGCTGGTGGCGTCGATGGTCTCCTGCAGCTTGGGTGTGTAGACTTTGAGGTCTTTGCTGAAGGCCCTGCAGGACTGGGCCAGGTCCAGACTGGCCTCAGGAGACCCGCGCACGATCACCAGCTGCCGCGGCTTCATCTGGTTTATGATCTTCTTCATGGAGTCGCCATCGGAGCGGCCTTCATAGTCTATGTAGGACACACGCGCCCTGCAACAGAGACGAGAGTATTTACAATACTACCATTTCTTAGTTTATGTAGAAACCTTTGTATGTTGTTGTTTACATTAGACAATTACACATGCAAAAATATAAATATATATATAAACAATAAAGTACCATCTGCCAGTTTCACCATGTGTGGGTGTATTTCAATATGTATTTACAAATGTATTTCTATTTACAAGCAAGAGTAGAGTAGAGTAGAGTAGAGTAGAGTAGAGTAGAGTAGAGTAGAGTAGAGTAGAGTAGAGTAGAGTAGAGTAGAGTAGGGTAGGGTAGGGTAGGGTAGGGTAGGGTAGGGTAGGGTAGAGTAGAGTAGAGTAGAGTAGGGTAGGGTAGGGTAGGGTAGGGTAGAGTAGAGTAGAGTAGAGTAGAGTAGAGTAGAGTAGAGTAGAGTAGAGAGAGCCCCATTCATTTAAACGAGTGACTTCTAAAGTCCACAGCGACTAAACTAGACTGGTCCACAACACCCCCCTCAGCATTGACACACATGTGGAACGGAGCTTTGGGCCAAGAGACAACTTTTGGACCATCCTGTAAAGGTGTTTTTGAGAGGTAAGAATATCAATCAATCAATCAAATTTTTATTTGTATAGCGCCCAACAACACAGAATATAGCATAGCAGAAGAATATGCTATATGTTAGCATTGGTTAATTCTTATTCTGGGTCCACCCCCACAGGCCCGGGGTGGTACTGCAGCATGTCAGCGCACGTCATTTTGGACACTTTTGAGCCGGGACCTGCCCACATTGGTCAGTCCTCTCCTGATGCAGGTCAGACCCTCAGAAGTAGGACCGGGAACTATGTGAGGATTCAACAGTAGTTCTTAACATATCGCAGTACAGACAGTAGTGTGATTCTGTGATATTTCTGGATTCATGACCCACATATTATTCAACGACTTTACAAAGATGGAGGAAAATAAGAGTCACAACAAGCAGACGTCATAGAGTCACAACAAGCAGACGTCATAGAGTCACAACAAGCAGACGTCATAGAGTCACAACAAGCAGACGTCATAGAGTCACAACAAGCAGACATCATAGAGTCACAACAAGCAGACACGATAGAGTCACAACAAGCAGACGCCATAGAGTCACAACAAGCAGACATCATAGAGTCACAACAAGCAGACATCATAGAGTCACAACAAGCAGACACCATAGAGTCACAACAAGCAGACGTCATAGAGTCACAACAAGCAGACGTCATAGAGTCACAACAAGCAGACATAGAGTCACAACAAGCAGACACCATAGAGTCACAACAAGCAGACGTCATAGAGTCACAACAAGCAGACGTCATAGAGTCACAACAAGCAGACATAGAGTCACAACAAGCAGACATCATAGAGTCACAACAAGCAGACACCATAGAGTCACAACAAGCAGACACCATAGAGTCACAACAAGCAGACATCATAGAGTCACAACAAGCAGACATCATAGAGTCACAACAAGCAGACACCATAGAGTCACAACAAGCAGACGTCATAGAGTCACAACAAGCAGACACCATAGAGTCACAACAAGCAGACGTCATAGAGTCACAACAAGCAGACATAGAGTCACAACAAGCAGACATCATAGAGTCACAACAAGCAGACGTCATAGAGTCACAACAAGCAGACGTCATAGAGTCACAACAAGCAGACGTCATAGTCACAACAAGCAGACATCATAGATTCACAACAAGCAGACACCATAGAGTCACAACAAGCAGACACCATAGAGTCACAACAAGCAGACATCATAGAGTCACAACAAGCAGACATAGAGTCACAACAAGCAGACGTCATAGAGTCACAACAAGCAGACGTCATAGTCACAACAAGCAGACACCATAGAGTCACAACAAGCAGACGTCATAGAGTCACAACAAGCAGACGTCATAGAGTCACAACAAGCAGACGTCATAGAGTCACAACAAGCAGACATAGAGTCACAACAAGCAGACATCATAGAGTCACAACAAGCAGACACCATAGAGTCACAACAAGCAGACACCATAGAGTCACAACAAGCAGACATCATAGAGTCACAACAAGCAGACATAGAGTCACAACAAGCAGACATCATAGAGTCACAACAAGCAGACGTCATAGAGTCACAACAAGCAGACGTCATAGAGTCACAACAAGCAGACGTCATAGTCACAACAAGCAGATACCATAGAGTCACAACAAGCAGACGTCATAGAGTCACAACAAGCAGACGTCATAGAGTCACAACAAGCAGACGTCATAGAGTCACAACAAGCAGACATAGAGTCACAACAAGCAGACATCATAGAGTCACAACAAGCAGACACCATAGAGTCACAACAAGCAGACATCATAGAGTCACAACAAGCAGACATCATAGAGTCACAACAAGCAGACACCATAGAGTCACAACAAGCAGACGTCATAGAGTCACAACAAGCAGACACCATAGAGTCACAACAAGCAGACGTCATAGAGTCACAACAAGCAGACATAGAGTCACAACAAGCAGACATCATAGAGTCACAACAAGCAGACGTCATAGAGTCACAACAAGCAGACGTCATAGTCACAACAAGCAGACGTCATAGTCACAACAAGCAGACATCATAGAGTCACAACAAGCAGACATCATAGAGTCACAACAAGCAGACATCATAGAGTCACAACAAGCAGACACCATAGAGTCACAACAAGCAGACGTCATAGAGTCACAACAAGCAGACATAGAGTCACAACAAGCAGACATCATAGAGTCACAACAAGCAGACGTCATAGAGTCACAACAAGCAGACGTCATAGTCACAACAAGCAGACGTCATAGAGTCACAACAAGCAGACGTCATAGAGTCACAACAAGCAGACATAGAGTCACAACAAGCAGACATCATAGAGTCACAACAAGCAGACGTCATAGAGTCACAACAAGCAGACGTCATAGTCACAACAAGCAGACATCATAGAGTCACAACAAGCAGACACCATAGAGTCACAACAAGCAGACGTCATAGAGTCACAACAAGCAGACACCATAGAGTCACAACAAGCAGACGTCATAGAGTCACAACAAGCAGACGTCATAGAGTCACAACAAGCAGACGTCATAGAGTCACAACAAGCAGACATAGAGTCACAACAAGCAGACGTCATAGAGTCACAACAAGCAGACGTCATAGTCACAACAAGCAGACGTCATAGAGTCACAACAAGCAGACGTCATAGAGTCACAACAAGCAGACATCAGAGTCACAACAAGCAGACGTCATAGAGTCACAACAAGCAGACGTCATAGTCACAACAAGCAGACGTCATAGAGTCACAACAAGCAGACGTCATAGAGTCACAACAAGCAGACGTCATAGAGTCACAACAAGCAGACGTCATAGTCACAACAAGCAGACGTCATAGAGTCACAACAAGCAGACATCATAGAGTCACAACAAGCCGACACCATAGAGTCACAACAAGCAGACGTCATAGAGTCACAACAAGCAGACGTCATAGAGTCACAACAAGCAGACGTCATAGAGTCACAACAAGCAGACATCATAGAGTAACAACAAGCAGACGTCATAGAGTCACAACAAGCAGACAACATAGAGTCACAACAAGCAGACGTCATAGAGTCACAACAAGCAGACATCATAGAGTCACAACAAGCCGACACCATAGAGTCACAACAAGCAGACGTCATAGAGTCACAACAAGCAGACGTCATAGAGTCACAACAAGCAGACGTCATAGAGTCACAACAGGCAGACGTCATAGAGTCACAACAAGCAGACAACATAGAGTCACAACAAGCAGACGCCATAGAGTCACAACAAGCCGACACCATAGAGTCACAACAAGCAGACGTCATAGAGTCACAACAAGCAGACGTCATAGAGTCACAACAAGCAGACGTCATAGAGTCACAACAGGCAGACGTCATAGAGTCACAACAAGCAGACGTCATAGAGTCACAACAAGCAGACGTCATAGAGTCACAACAGGCAGACGTCAGAGTCACAACAAGCAGACAACATAGAGTCACAACAAGCAGACGTCATAGAGTCACAACAAGCAGACGTCATAGAGTCACAACAAGAAGACGTCAGAGTCACAACAAGCAGACGTCATAGAGTCACAACAAGGAGACGTCATAGAGTCACAACAAGCAGACGTCATAGAGTCACAACAAGCAGACGTCATAGAGTCACAACAAGCAGACATCATAGAGTCACAACAAGCAGACGTCATAGAGTCACAACAAGCAGACGTCATAGAGTCACAACAAGCAGACGTCATAGAGTCACAACAAGCAGACGTCAGAGTCACAACAAGCAGACGTCATAGAGTCACAACAAGCAGACGTCATAGAGTCAGAACAAATATCACAATACTTTGCTCTACTGTAGCCGTGTGATTAACCATACTTTTCCACCAGCACCGATCAGAACTGGTCTCGTGCACAGACCTGGCCCCGTGCACAGACCTGGCCCCGTGCACAGACCTGGCCCCGTGCACAGACCTGTTCTCTGTACTGACCTGATCTCCAGGTTCTCCATGCTGGACACACACTTGGTGGGGACCACAGACAGGTCCTGGTCCATGGGTTCCTTCTTGCCGTTGGTCAGACCCGTGTCCAGTTTGCTCTTCTCCTCCTCAGTGGTCTGCAGCTCCGGGACCAGGAAGTCCTCCAGTCTGGACACACACAGAGCAGATGTCACTAACAAACAGAACTCTTCTCTTTCCCACAGACCCACAGCACGTTCATTTGTATTTTTTAAAACTGATTTTAGGATTTGAAAAGGACTGCTCTCCTCTCAGTTTACATCCCGGGAAATAAACACTGAATGTAAAGTTCACAGTAAGATCTACAGAAAGACCATTTGTTGGTTTCCACAGACGTATGATATTATCTAAATGCATAAAGGGGAAGAAATGGATGCATGCTGCTGTCTCCACATGGACTAGAGGCCACCCGTGGTACTGCAGCCTAAACCCACACTGCCTGTGGAGGTTTCCCCTCAGCCTACAGGGAACCTACAGCTTTAACAAGGGCATAATTCTCTGATCTGGGCGGCACTGTGGCTGAGTGGATAGCAACCTCGCTTCTCAGCAAGAAGGTCCTGGGTTCGAATCCCGGTCAGAACAGGCCCATTCTGAGTGGAGTTTGCATGTTCTCCCAGTGTCTGCGTAGGTTTCCTCAGGGTGCTCCGGTTTCCACTACCACTAAAACATGTGCAATAGTTCAGTGTGTGTTTGTGAGTGTGAATGTGGGACGGATGGAAATTATCCAAGGTAGGATCCAGAGTGATGTGTTCATAAACATGTACTGTCCCAGCAAAATAAACTATAAATAATCCATTGTTGGTGAATCGACAACTTTGTAAAGTCCTCCGAGAAGACGTTTGTGACTTAGGGCACGAAAAATACAATGGATAGATTTGGATAGAGATGAATCAAAGCACTGACTTCTACATTATTAAACCTGTACATGTGAAGGTGTAGAGAGTCCTGCGGCGGCGGCGTGTACCTGATGATCTCGCCGTACTCGTCCCACTTGATGCGGTCCTCGTGGGTGGGGAACATGGGGTAGGACTTCTTGGCCTGTTTGAAGAAGCTGCCCTTGCGGCTGCCCTCGCTCTTCATCATCAGGTCGTGGTGTTTGGTCTTCACCGCCACCGGCTGCTCCAGGTCGTCCTCCATGTCGCTCTCCTCGCTCGAGTCCATGTCCACTCTGCAAAACACAGCCTCGGGTCACATTCAACAAGACAGAGGCGTAGACTGTATATGGGCTGCTCACACTGAAGGGTACGAGTGAGACAAAAGGTCAAAGAATAGACTTTAATAAATCAGAAGAAATATGTTTTTAATGTTTCCAAATCCCTCTTTGTCCGTCAGAAGTTGCTAAAATAAAACAGTTTTATAAATTAGTCAAGTTTCCTTAAGTTTATTTTATGTAACGACCTGATCCTTTGAATGAGCTGAAGTTTGTTAAATATTTTCACATTTGATTCATAGATTATTATTTTTTACAAAGAGAAACAAATTGATTACCTTCATATAGTCAACCAATTAAACCAGACCATTTTTTTCTCTCAAGTTTAATTTTAAGAAGAAAAATAAAGACAGAAACCAGGATCATTGAAATTGTTTTTTTTTTTTTTTAAATGAAGTGATATATTTAGAATGGCCCTGTTCTGACCAGGATTCGAACCCAGGACCTTCTTGCTGAGAAGCGAGGTTGCTATCCACTCAGCCACAGTGCCGCCCAGATCAGAGAATTATGCCCTTGTCAAAGCTGTAGGTTCCCTGTAGGCTGAGGGGAAACCTCCACAGGCCGTGTGGGTTTAGGCTGCAGTACCACAGGTGGCCTCTAGTCCATGTGGAGACAGCAGCATGCATCCATTTTTTCCCCTTTATGCATTTAGATAATATCATACGTCTGTGGAAACCAACAAATGGTCTTTCTGTAGATCTTACTGTGAACTTTACATTCAGTGTTTATTTCCCGGGATGTAAATGTGAATCTGTGGAGTTCATGTTTGTCTGTCCCTGAGTCACAGAATGAACCAATCAGAGGCATACATGTATTTGTGAATCTTTCCTTTTGATTTTATCCACACTATCTCTTTGATCAGTCTGTGTTCTAAATCCTTTTACTAATCTACGAAAGTAAGTTTAGTTTTTTGAATTATGACCTTTTAAAGTCCAGATACTTTCATTGACACTTTAGGGACAGTGTTTTAAAAATTGCATCTGGATCTTTGACTGCATCTTTAATTAGATTTTTATTTAAATCACATCCGGGCTCTAGTTTTCTTTTCCTCCTCGTTCCTGGGCTCCTCGCACAGATCTGGCAACCCCACCTTTGCAGCTGCACGTGGCGTTTATATCTGGGGCGCTATTTGCATCTGTTTTCACGGTGCCACAAAAACTGACTCTTTGGGGGAAAAAGCAGCAAACATGATTCTGCGATTCTCGAACATCAAAGGGACAGAAGGCGGAGGGGGCGGAGCCTGGAGTCGCTGTAGCACTTACTCTTTCTCTTGCTCTAGTTTTCGCTCTGCTTCCTTTTTGATTTTCTCCTTTTCCAGAAACTCGTCGAGCTCTCGCCCTTCAAGCTTCACCCGTTTCTTCACCTGAAGGAGGAGGCAAGACACAATTTAACACACACGGACACACATACAGACACACACACACACACACACACACACACACACACACACACAGACAGAAGGCAAGACACAAGTTAAAACACACACACAGAGACACACACCAGAGAGACCAGAGAGAGACCATAGAGAGACCAGAGAGAGACCAGAGAGAGACCAGAGAGAGAGACCATAGAGAGACTAGAGAGAGACCAGAGAGAGACCAGAGAGAGACCAGAGAGAGACTAGAGAGAGACCAGAGAGAGACTAGAGAGAGACCAGAGAGAGACCAGAGAGAGACCAGAGAGAGAGACCATAGAGAGACCAGAGAGAGACCAGAGAGAGACTAGAGAGAGACCAGAGAGAGACCAGAGAGAGACTAGAGAGAGACCAGAGAGAGACCAGAGAGAGACCAGAGAGAGACCAGAGAGAGACTAGAGAGAGACCAGAGAGAGACTAGAGAGAGACCAGAGAGAGACCAGAGAGAGACCAGAGAGAGAGACCAGAGAGAGACCAGAGAGAGAGACCATAGAGAGACTAGAGAGACTAGAGAGAGACCAGAGAGAGACCAGAGAGAGACTAGAGAGAGACCAGAGAGAGACTAGAGAGAGACCAGAGAGAGACCAGAGAGAGACCAGAGAGAGACCAGAGAGACTAGAGAGAGACCAGAGAGAGACCAGAGAGAGAGACCAGAGAGAGACCAGAGAGAGAGACCAGAGAGAGACCAGAGAGAGAGACTAGAGAGAGACCAGAGAGAGAGACCAGAGAGAGACCAGAGAGAGAGACCAGAGAGAGACCAGAGAGAGAGACTAGAGAGAGACCAGAGAGAGACTTGAGAGAGAGAGACCAGAGAGAGACCAGAGTCTACAGACCTCGAGGTCCAGCATCTTCTCGTCGGGGTGGTCGATGAGGTAGCGGGCCAGCGTTCCGGGCGTGGTGCGGTACGTGAGGATGATGGAGTTGCGCGGGTTCTGGCACCACTGGATGAAGAGTTCGCGGGAGAATCCGGACTCCAGGTCGGGCTGGCTGCACAGGACCACTTTGGGACTGGGCACTCGGGCCAGGTCCGACAGGCTGTGGCACAGAGTCAGGTGCCGGAACTGGAAAGGGTTGTTCCGCTTGTCCTCGAAGCAGCGCATCAGTTTGTCGCTCATCCACTCCACCTGCGAGAGACCAGAGAGAGACCAGAGAGAGACCAGAGAGAGACAAGAGAGAGACCAGAGAGACAAGAGAGACCAGAGAGAGACAAGAGAGAGACCAGAGAGAAACCAGAGAGAGACCAGAGAGAGCAGAGAGACCAGAGAGAGACAAGAGAGAGACCAGAGAGAGAGACTTGAGAGAGACCAGAGAGAGACAAGAGAGAGACCAGAGAGAGACCAGAGAGAGACCAGAGAGAGACCAGAGAGAGACCAGAGAGAGACAAGAGAGAGACAAGAGAGAGACAAGAGAGAGACCAGAGGGAGACCAGAGAGAGACAAGAGAGAGACAAGAGAGAGAGACCAGAGAGAGACAAGAGAGAGACCAGAGAGACCAGAGAGAGACCAGAGAGAGACCAGAGAGTTAGAACCAGGAAGTCTGGGCTGGATTCAGGAAACGGACCGGGTCTCGGGTCCATGTCAGGGGCTCTTACAGCTGCTTTAACCCTGACCCACACATTCAAACTACCCAAAAATACATATCTATTCATATTACTACTCTACCCTAACCCAATCCTTTCCTACCCTACTCTACCCTACCCTACTCCACTCCAGTAGGGCTGGTAGAAACGGGGGTCCTGAATAATAACTGAGCGTTGGTGTAAATGATTCATATTTATACATATTTATACATATACAGAATTTTCTATATAACATTATAAAACATGAAACGCTAAAGTAAACATTGTCTTGATTCTGCAAAATTCTTCTTTAACATGTTTTGTGTTGAATGTGGAGAGAGCCCCATACACACCACACATACTGTTTATATTGAAAACTCCTTTCTCTGCAGCGAAGTGTGGTACAAACCTGAGACTTTGAGAACTCCACCACGTTGTAGCTGACGTTGTTGAGCAGAGCCAGAGGGTAGACCCCGAGACCTGCGTCTTTGGTCCTCCAGATCTGGTCCAGGAGCTGAGCCAGTTCCAGGACTCGGCCCGCGGTGTCCACGGCCAGCAGCACGTTCCCGTCGCCCCGCAGCGTCTCCATCACGTTCGCTGTCAGAGGAGAAGGGTTACCGTGGAAACGTGTGAAGGAGGGTCATAGCAAGTGTATGGATCCATCATCGTTCCAGCTCGCCTTAGCAACCACCATAGCAACACACCTGCCCCTTTGAAAAGTACAAAGCTAACGCTATCGGGACAAATGAGGAAATGGGCTCCAGCTTGTGTTCAAACCTGCCTCTTCCACACTCAGGCCAACGCTGTGAGGTCACACTGTGGTGATGTCACACGGTGGTGATGTCACACTGTGGTGATGTCACACTGTGGTGATGTCACACGGTGGTGATGTCACACGGTGGTGATGTCACACTGTGGTGATGTCACACGGTGGTGATGTCACACGGTGGTGATGTCACACTGTGGTGATGTCACACTGTGGTGATGTCACACGGTGGTGATGTCACACTGTGGTGATGTCACACGGTGGTGATGTCACACGGTGGTGACAGACTGTGGTGATGTCACACGGTGGTGATGTCACACGGTGGTGATGTCACATAAACAGTCTGTGGTGATGTCACACGGTGGTGATGTCACACTGTGGTGATGTCACACTGTGGTGATGTCACACTATGGTGATGTCACACGGTGGTGATGTCACATAAACAGTCTGTGGTGATGTCACACGGTGGTGATGTCACATAAACAGTCTGTGGTGATGTCACACGGTGGTGATGTCACACGGTGGTGATGTCACACTGTGGTGATGTCACACTGTGGTGATGTCACACTGTGGTGATGTCACACTGTGGTGATGTCACACGGTGGTGATGTCACACGGTGGTGATGTCACACTGTGGTGATGCCACACTGTGGTGATGTCACACGGTGGTGATGTCACACTGTGGTGATGTCACACGGTGGTGATGTCACACGGTGGTGACAGACTGTGGTGATGTCACACGGTGGTGATGTCACACGGTGGTGATGTCACATAAACAGTCTGTGGTGATGTCACATAAACAGTCTGTGGTGATGTCACATAAACAGTCTGTGGTGATGTCACATAAACAGTCTGTGGTGATGTCACATAAACAGTCTGTGGTGATGTCACATAAACAGTTTGTGGTGATGTCACATAAACAGTCTGTGGTGATGTCACATAAACAGTCTGTGGTGATGTCACATAAACAGTCTGTGGTGAGGAATGTGAACAGTAAGAACTCACTGAGGAGCTGCTCGTCTCTCTGTTTGCGTCGCGGCTGAACGTACGTCGCGTTGAAGGAGTCGGTGATGAGCAGCGAGGGTCGACTGATGCTCTCCAGAGTGCAGCCGTTCAGGTGGCTGCAAACAGACCATGAAGACACCATGAAGACACACGCGACAAACCAGGAGTAACAGTGCACCATAAAGTCCTGTGTCCTGAATGTTCAAGAATAAGGTTTTTCACTTCCTTCCTCACTGTTTTCTTCAGTTCTTGTACAGACCTCAATAAAGTTTTATTTTCCTCCATGTTTTTAAAGTCTCTGTGATGGGGAAAAGTGTGGACTCTGTGGGAGCTGTGCTGGAGAGAAGGATGAGGGCTATAATGCAGTGCATCCTGGGTAACTCCAGACACCCTCTGCATGACACTGTGGCCGCTCAGAGTAACCGTAGCAACAGGCTCCTATCACTACGCTGCTGAACGGAACCTTTAAAGAGATCCTTTGTTCTTTCGGCTGTCAGACTGTACAACAAACCTGGATGAGTCTTCTGCTGCTGGACACCTGCATTTCTCCTACGAGGGATCAATAAAGTATCTATCTAAAATATAAAGGACATGTATCGCGATATGTTAAGAATCACAATAATATTGAATTGAGCCCAAAAATCACAAAACTATTGAATCCTCACATTGTTCCCGGTCCTTCTTCAGAGGGTCTGACCTGTGGACCATCAGGAGAGGACTGACTGAGTGTGACATCTGATTCGAACATACAGTATTATTGTACTTTCTTCAAACCGACGAATGGAGGAGCAGTTTGAGATTAAAGGGGCTCCACCAGGTCTCTGTTCCGGCAGAAAATATGAAAACTCACATTTCTCGTTTATGGTTGAAGTCCACGGCGTAGACGATCTCCTCTTCTCCGTCCTTCACGATTTTCCAAATAGTGCCTCCGATCATGTGACCAGCGGGAAGCGGCGTGATGGAGAGACCGTGTCCTTTACCTTCAAGAACAAGAGGACTTTTAGGTAAAGCTGAGGTCCTGGGTCTACAGCCTCAGTCCTGGGTCTACAGCCTCGGTCCTGGATCTACAGCCTCGGTCCTGGGTCTACAGCTTCAGTCCTGGGTCTACAGCCTCGGTCCTGGGTCTACAGCCTCGGTCCTGGGTCTACAGCCTCGGTCCTGGGTCTACAGCCTCGGTCCTGGGTCTACAGCCTCGGTCCTGGGTCTACAGCCTCAGTCCTGGGTCTACAGCCTCAGTCCTGGGTCTACAGCCTCAGTCCTGGGTCTACAGCCTCAGTCCTGGGTCTACAGCCTCAGTCCTGGGTCTACAGCCTCAGTCCTACCTTTGAGGTTGACGATCTGGGAGTATTTGAGCTGTTGGATCTTATCGAAGGCACTGTCGACGTCGTCCAGAGTGAACAACGTGAAGTCCTCGTTGTTGTTCCGAGACTGAGACCAAAAAAAAATCAACAGTTTCAGGAGAGAACGGACGATGAAGCTCAGAGAGAAGACACTTTCAAACCAAGAAACAACTCAAAAAGATCCACTGTCCTGTATCTCAACTCCTCTCTTTTCTCCTCTCTACCCTCTCTCCCCTCCTCTTTCTCTCTCCTCCCCTTTCCTCTCTCCCCCTTCTCTTCTTTCTCTCTCCTCCCTCCCTCTCTCCACTCTCTCTCCTCTCTCTCTCCCTTCTCTTTCTCTCTCCCCTCCTCTTTCTCTCTCCTCCCCTTTCCTCTCTCTCTCCCTTCTCTTCTTTCTCTCTCCTCCCTCCCTCTCTCCACTCTCTCTCCTCTCTCTCTCCCTTCTCTTTCTCTCTCCCCTCCTCTTTCTCTCTCCTCCCCTTTCCTCTCTCTCCTCCCTCCCTCTCTCCACTCTCTCTCCTCTCTCTCTCCCTTCTCTTCTTTCTCTCTCCTCCCTCCCCTCTCTCTCCCTTCTCTTTCTCTCTCCTCCCCTTTCCTCTCTCTCCCCCTTCTCTTCTTTCTCTCTCCTCTCTCTCTCCTCCCTCCCTCTCTCCACTCTCTCCTCCTCTCCCCTCTCGCTCAACTCGTCTCTCCCTTCTCAACTCCTCTGCTCTCCCTCCTCCTCTCATGCAGAAAAATGTTAACAGACAAAAGGACATTTTGTCTGTTAACATTTGTCTGTCTCTTTCTCATCTCACTCCTCTCTCTTTTCTCTCTCTCCCTCCTCTCTCTCCTCCCCTCTTGATATCTGCTATTTCACGAGGCATGAAAAAATTCAGTGTTCACATTTGTACATGACGTGTGTTCCCCGAGTCGTCCTCTCACCTGATATAAGTCGTACATGAACGTCTGGCCCGTCTCACCTGATATAAGTCGTACATGAACATCTGGCCCATCTCACTTGATATAAGTCGTACATGAACATCTGGCCAGTCTCACCTGATATAAGTCGTACATGAACGTCTGGCCCATCTCACCTGATATAAGTCGTACATGAACATCTGGCCCATCTCACCTGATATAAGTCGTACATGAACATCTGGCCCGTCTCACCTGATATAAGTCGTACATGAACATCTGGCCCATCTCACTTGATATAAGTCGTACATGAACATCTGGCCAGTCTCACCTGATATAAGTCGTACATGAACATCTGGCCCGTCTCATCTGATATAAGTCGTACATGAACGTCTGGCCCGTCTCACCTGATATAAGTCGTACATGAACGTCTGGCCCGTCTCACCTGATATAAGTCGTACATGAACATCTGGCCCGTCTCACCTGATATAAGTCGTACATGAACGTCTGGCCCGTCTCATCTGATATAAGTCGTACATGAACTTCTGGCCCGTCTCACCTGATTTAAGTCGTACATGAACATCTGGCCCATCTCACCTGATATAAGTCGTACATGAACATCTGGCCCATCTCACCTGATATCAGTCGTACATGAACATCTGGCCCGTCTCACCTGATATAAGTCGTACACGAACATCTGGCCCATCTCACCTGATATAAGTCGTACATGAACATCTGGCCCATCTCACCTGATATCAGTCGTACATGAACATCTGGCCCATCTCACTTGATATAAGTCGTACATGAACATCTGGCCAGTCTCACCTGATATAAGTCGTACATGAACATCTGGCCCGTCTCACCTGATATAAGTCGTACATGAACATCTGGCCCATCTCACCTGATATAAGTCGTACATGAACGTCTGGCCCATCTCACCTGATATAAGTCGTACATGAACGTCTGGCCCGTCTCATCTGATATAAGTCGTACATGAACGTCTGGCCCGTCTCACCTGATTTAAGTCGTACATGAACATCTGCCCCGTCTCACCTGATATAAGTCGTACATGAACATCTGGCCCATCTCACCTGATATAAGTCGAACATGAACGTCTGGCCCATCTCACCTGATATAAGTCGTATATGAACATCTGGCCCGTCTCACCTGATATAAGTCGTACATGAACGTCTGGCCCGTCTCACCTGATATAAGTCGTACATGAACGTCTGGCCCGTCTCACCTGATATAAGTCGTACATGAACATCTGGCCCATCTCACCTGATATAAGTCGTACATGAACGTCTGGCCCGTCTCATCTGATATAAGTCGTACATGAACGTCTGGCCCGTCTCACCTGATTTAAGTCGTACATGAACATCTGCCCCGTCTCACCTGATATAAGTCGTACATGAACATCTGGCCCATCTCACCTGATATAAGTCGAACATGAACGTCTGGCCCATCTCACCTGATATAAGTCGTATATGAACATCTGGCCCGTCTCACCTGATATAAGTCGTACATGAACGTCTGGCCCGTCTCACCTGATATAAGTCGTACATGAACGTCTGGCCCGTCTCACCTGATATAAGTCGTACATGAACATCTGGCCCATCTCACCTGATATAAGTCGTACATGAACGTCTGGCCCGTCTCATCTGATATAAGTCGTACATGAACGTCTGGCCCGTCTCACCTGATTTAAGTCGTACATGAACATCTGGCCCGTCTCACCTGATATAAGTCGTACATGAACATCTGGCCCATCTCACCTGATATAAGTCGTACATGAACGTCTGGCCCATCTCACCTGATATAAGTCGTAAATGAACATCTGGCCCGTCTCACCTGATATAAGTCGTACATGAACGTCTGGCCCGTCTCACCTGATATAAGTCGTACATGAACGTCTGGCCCGTCTCACCTGATATAAGTCGTACATGAACATCTGGCCCGTCTCACCTGATATAAGTCGTACATGAACATCTGTCCCATCTCACCTGATATAAGTCGTACATGAACGTCTGGCCCGTCTCACCTGATATAAGTTGTACATGAACGTCTGGCCCGTCTCACCTGATATAAGTCGTACATGAACGTCTGGCCCGTCTCACCTGATATAAGTCGTACATGAACATCTGGCCCATCTCACCTGATATAAGTCGTACATGAACGTCTGGCCCGTCTCATCTGATATAAGTCGTACATGAACGTCTGGCCCGTCTCACCTGATTTAAGTCGTACATGAACATCTGGCCCGTCTCACCTGATATAAGTCGTACATGAACATCTGGCCCATCTCACCTGATATAAGTCGTACATGAACGTCTGGCCCATCTCACCTGATATAAGTCGTATATGAACATCTGGCCCGTCTCACCTGATATAAGTCGTACATGAACGTCTGGCCCGTCTCACCTGATATAAGTCGTACATGAACGTCTGGCCCGTCTCACCTGATTTAAGTCGTACATGAACATCTGGCCCGTCTCACCTGATATAAGTCGTACATGAACGTCTGGCCCGTCTCACCTGATATAAGTCGTACATGAACATCTGGCCCGTCTCACCTGATATAAGTCGTACATGAACATCTGTCCCATCTCACCTGATATAAGTCGTACATGAACGTCTGGCCCGTCTCACCTGATATAAGTCGTACATGAACATCTGGCCCATCTCACCTGATATAAGTCGTACATGAACGTCTGGCCCGTCTCATCTGATATAAGTCGTACATGAACGTCTGGCCCGTCTCACCTGATTTAAGTCGTACATGAACATCTGGCCCGTCTCACCTGATATAAGTCGTACATGAACATCTGGCCCATCTCACCTGATATAAGTCGTACATGAACGTCTGGCCCATCTCACCTGATATAAGTCGTATATGAACATCTGGCCCGTCTCACCTGATATAAGTCGTACATGAACGTCTGGCCCGTCTCACCTGATTTAAGTCGTACATGAACATCTGGCCCGTCTCACCTGATATAAGTCGTACATGAACGTCTGGCCCGTCTCACCTGATATAAGTCGTACATGAACATCTGGCCCGTCTCACCTGATATAAGTCGTACATGAACATCTGTCCCATCTCACCTGATATAAGTCGTACATGAACGTCTGGCCCGTCTCACCTGATATAAGTCGTACATGAACGTCTGGCCCGTCTCACCTGATATAAGTCGTACATGAACGTCTGGCCCGTCTCACCTGATATAAGTCGTACATGAACATCTGGCCCATCTCACCTGATATAAGTCGTAAATGAACATCTGGCCCATCTCACCTGATATAAGTCGTACATGAACGTCTGGCCCGTCTCACCTGATATAAGTCGTACATGAACGTCTGGCCCGTCTCACCTGATATAAGTCGTACATGAACGTCTGGCCCACCTCACCTGATATAAGTCGTACATGAACGTCTGGCCCACCTCACCTGATATAAGTCGTACATGAACATCTGGCCCATCTTGTAGACTGGGATAGTGGCGTATATGGTGCAGTTCAGGCCCAGTTTTCCCACGGCGTAGGGCAGGGCTCCGAGGTGAACAGGGTCTGGGTGAGAGAGCAGCACTGCGTCCACCTGGTGAACATACCTGACACAACAACACAGGAAAAACACAATATTATTATACAGTTAAAGAGACAGTGCTACACATGTCCATAGCCCTGTTTCCACCAGCCCTACTTCGAGCCACAGCTGACGTGGCTCTCATTATGCTAACGTCAGAGATGTTATGGTTTATTCTTGCTTCTTCACGATGCTAAAGCTGGACATTTTAGATTTGCTTCTTTATTATGCTAAAGTTAGACATTTATTTTATCTTATTTTAGTAATAATAATCTGTTTTATAAAGCGACACTCAATTCTCTTCACATCATTATTCTTTCACTCTATAGTAGTGATAAACTACTGTAGCCACAGCTGCCCTGGGGCACACTGACAGAAGTGAGGCAACCTGTCTGTGCCATCGGCCCCTCCCACCACCACCAACCATTCACACACACACCAGACTCATTCTAATGTGGGGGAAGTGTCTTGCCTAAGGACACAGCGGCAGTTTGGCACTTTACAGCCGCCCCACTGTGGCACCTGCTGTTCCCGGAGGTCTCCCATCACATAACTAACCAGGCCCTGTCCTGCTTAGCCAGAGAGAGACCAGAGAGAGAACAGAGAGAGAACAGAGAGAGACCAGAGAGAGACCAGAGAGAGACCAGAGAGACCTGAGAGAGACCAGAGAGAGACCAGAGAGAGACCAGAGAGAGACCAGAGAGAGACCAGAGAGAGACCAGAGAGAGACCAGAGAGAGACAAGAGAGAGAGAGACAAGAGAGAGACCAGAGAGAGACCAGAGAGAGACCAGAGAGAGACAAGAGAGAGAGAGACAAGAGAGAAACCAGAGAGAGACCAGAGAGAGACCAGAGAGACAAGGGAAAGACCAGAGAGAGACCAGAGAAAGACCAGACAGAGACCAGAGAGAGACCAGAGAGAAAGACCAGAGAGAAACCAAAGAGAGACCAGAGAAAGACCAGAGAGAGACCAGAGAGAGACCAGAGAGACAAGGGAAAGACCAGAGAGAGACCAGAGAGAGACCAGAGAGAGACCAGAGAGAGAGACCAGAGAGAGACCAGAGAGAGACCAGAGAGAAAGACCAGAGAGAGAGACCAGTTATTACTGTGGTACCCATAAAGCATCTCTTCATCTTCATCTTCTTTGAGTACTTGTCTGGTGCACACTGCGGACTCTGGCGTAAGTATTCCAATGTGGTTTTACTGCATATGGCAAATGTATCTGAATGGTATTGCCCCAGTAATAAACAGCAGTATTTCAGGATCCTCCTAGCGTCCTTTTCCCAGTATAGATGACATAATATTAGTCTGTATCGGACTCTCACCGTTTCATGGCATCAATAATGTCCATGGAAAAGTTCTCGTCCCATCCACAGTCCAAGAGGAAGCGGAACTCGTCCACCTGAAGGAGGTAGCAGAGCGCGGACTCCTCCTGGACCCCGGACACCGCCGTCAGCTTTATAATCGACGTCATCGTTCACCCTCTTCACGCTGCAACACAAATAGAAGAAACCAATCAATAACTGACTGAAATACAGACTTAAAAACAGACACCAAAATAATATTATAACAAAAACAGTAGAAATATATTAAAAGTAATGATCACACATGTTCTGATAAGTTTTGTTTTTATACTAAGCGTCACAACACTTTACTTTGTCAGGCTAACTGCTTTCAAAACCTCACAAAACTAAACATTATTAGACAGTTATCTAAACTTCCGGAGGGATCATCGAGACTATTGGTCCTCCGAACTGTCAATCATTCTGGTGATACGTGCTCATCCAAGAAGACATGAGTGATTTTTCAAAAAACGGAGAGCGGTTCTTTCCTAAAGTTTTGGAATATCCTCCAATCTACCTTTAATATTTGTAAACACAAACCAAATGAATACATACTTTGTTATTTAAAATTGGGGACGTTTCTAGTTATTGTAATTATGAAGTGAATAACACATTATCAATTGAGCTCCTGTGGGAATATCAAAAAGCTGGTCTCACAATAAAATCAAAGATAGTTGTATAGACCCGAACCTACACATCTTGTACCGTGGACCCATGTTGTGTCTGAAGCACTGCACTTTGTTCTGACCCACATTGTTACTACAGTATCTATATATATATATATATATATATATATATATATATATAAATAAAAGACTGGTCTATTCTTGATCGATCTGGACTCAAAAATAATCCATGCACAAATCTTCAGATAATAATGTTTAGCAGTAATACAAATATAACAGGTGTCTGCAGTACACCATATGTAGGTTAGGTTCCACAGTACTATGCAAATACAGAAGTGCAAAACGATCTATCACTTCAAACTTGCAAATAATCAACGTGTCGTAATAACCCCAAAGTCCAGTGATCAACCTAAAACACAGGCATTATAATAAACATGACACATAATGACTAATATATATAATCCTGTACTACGGTGCTTGACCATGCATTCATTCATTCATACTTCAAATACAAATACTCAGATTACAGGTTAATGCTGAAAATATTTGTGCACAACATTTATACAGCTTAGAGCAACACAATAGGCTATTTACATTTAAGTTAAAAGAATAACTAGCATAACAATAATTCAACAATTCTGCCAAGTGTGGTTAGCATGTTAGCCAACATGTAGCATTTCTTTGTTTTTAACTTTATCCCAGTCAAAGGAGAGTGCCACGTACCAGCCAGTGTTAGTTAAATTAAAGCCGCCACTTAGCTGTAAAAGTTACAATTATGTTAAAGTAATAAATAACTGGAATGTTGTCATTTTAGCGCTATTGTTGCCGCACTTGACTAGCCAACATGTTTACCGCTGCTAACGTGAGTGTGGACAGCGGACCGTACCAATCAAACCGCAGGGGAGGAAAACAAAATCCTATCCAATTGGAAATAACTCGCTATTTTGGTGAAAACAATTAATTTTATATCGGCTAATACTTAATGTGGAGTTTAAAATGTGAATTTAGGTATGTCTTTAAGTAATTCATGATTGGTTACAAGTAGTATGTCCCTAACTCCCCCCGTGCGTTAGTACAGTCCGGTGTCCTCTGCCTGCTGAGCGAGGGGCTGGTGGGGCCTCGACTTTTACTGAAATATTGGATCAAAACAAGGTATATTTGTTTTTATTTTACCCCAGGGTGTGTCATTTTGTACCCCAAAATAACTTGTATAATGTACAGGCATCGTTACTGTCTAATGTCCTGCTAAATAATGAACCGGGTGCCCCATGCTAACTTACAAGCTAGCGTTAGCCTACACTAGCCAAGCACTCAGAGGTAAGTAAGTAATCTTTATTTATATACCACCTTTTCACTGCAGATCTGAGTCTCAAAGCGGTTTACAATTGTGATTTTGGGCATTTGTCTCTCACTCCACACAGAGATGGGAGCGGGGCCAGTACAGGAGGCGCATGCCAGAACTATTGTAAATGTTTTTAGTGGTAGGGGAAACCGGAGTACCCGGAGGAAACCTACGCAGACACGGGGAGAACATGCAAACTCCACTCAGAAAGGCCCTGGTCCGACCGGGATTCGAACCCAGGACCTTCTTGCTGAGAGGCGAGAGTGCTATCCACTCTGCCACCGTGCCGAGAGGTCCATGCATCAGCTGTAAACAAACGTGTTTTTGCCATTGATTGTTTTAATGTTGATTCATTTTTACTGTTGTAATATTTACTGAACTGAACATATTACAAATAGTGTGCTCTAAAATTTAATTCATTTTGTGTTAAAGTATTGAAGAAGATGACAAAGTCTGGGATCGCGTCTTACATTCAGACAGAAGACATGTTTTATTGTCGATGGTAGAGACAGCACGAACAACACGAACAACAGAATGCAAGTGTATTATACAGAGCGGAGGCATGGAGACCTCCAATCAGCAGCTGCCACAGTGCCATGTAGCTTGGCCTTCAGATAGACACAACAAGGGAAAAGTACTGGCTTCTGCACATTGATAGAATGATGAGTTTAACTTTAACAAAAGTTGCTTCAAAGTGTTATGAAATCTCATAGTATGTTAGAACCAAGCATGCGTACCCGATAATCATGGCGGCACGGTGGCAGAGTGGATTGCTATCCACTCTTGCCTCTCAGCAAGAAGATTCTGGGTTCGAATCCCGGTTGGACCAGGGCCTTTCTGAGTGGAGTTTGCATGTTCTCCCCGTGTCTGCGTAGGTTTCCTCCGGGTACTCTGGTTTCCCCTACCACTAAAAATATGTCCAATAGTTCTAGCATGTGCCTCCTGTACTGGCCCCTCCCATCTCTGTGTGGAGTGAGAGACAAATGCCCAAAAATAACAATTGTAAACCGCTTTGAGACTCTGATCTGGAGTGAAAAGGCGGTATATAAATAAAGATTACTTACTTACTTACTTACTACTTATTAGATATATAGCCCTGTTTCCACCAGCCCTACTTGGCCCTCCCCTCCCCTGATTTTGGGGCGTTTCCACCGGTAATGTTTAACCGGTACCAGGTACTTTTCAATATCTGCTTGACCCTGGTTCTATCCAGGCTGAGCTGGTAGTACAGTGTTCTAAAAGGCAGAGATTGGCCAGATTTCTGCTGGAAGCATGGTTACCAAGGAATTTCCATGAATACTGGTTTGTTGTGGGTAGGTTTTTGGCATACGGTACCAATCCTACGGGTCGGTAACACAACCAGGTAGAGTAGTGCCAAGTAGAGCTGATGGAAACAGGGCTAAGTTCACGTTTTAGCTACTGCTGCAAGTAAAATGATAGACTAAAGATAATAATGAAAGCACCATTGCGTGTTACATCTGGTTAAATAATCACCTCTTTAAGATATACTTTACTGATCTCCGTAGGGGAAAGGCAGGTGTCTAGTAGCCGCAGAAACGCATTCATTCATTCATTCAAACAAAACAAATAAATTGATCATTCTAAGATAGCAGTTATAGAAAAACGTTTGTGAAACATTGTGTGTTCAACTTTTGCATCCACTTTTCTATTATTAGCGTTGTAAAGTACATTTCCTAATCTACACCAACCATGAGCCAAATGAAAGTGGCAGCCCTTGGTAGGTTATGACCTATCACGCAGTGGTTAGCCCTTGTGCTTCACAGCAAGAAGGTCCTGGGTTCAATTCCACCTCCAGATGGGGCCTTTCTTTGGAGTTTGCATGTTCTCCTTGGGGTTGTGTAGGTTTCCTCCTGCTGCACCGGTTTCTCCTACCATTAAAATCATGTACGATTGTTCAGGGTGAATGAGTTTGTATTTGAGTGCGGGAGAACAAATAACATTAGCACAAATACTAATTACGGAGAGAGGCGTGTTCATCGATCCTTCAACACGCACTGTCCTGACCATAAAGAACCTAATCCAAACTTGTACTGTTTTGTAGGAAAAATGGTGAATCTTGTGGTTATGGCCAGGTCCTACTGGATGTACAGCCTGGTGCCCTTGGGCTTTGTGGTTGGGATGTACCTGGACAGGAAACAGGACGAGAAGCTCACAGCGTTCAGGAACAAAAGTCTACTGTTCAAACGGTGAGAACGAAGCATCTTCACAATAACCAACTGTGTGTGTTCGTAACTAGGAGTGTGACATTATATCGATAATAACGGCTTATTAACCGAGCGCGAGGTCTGTACAGAGAAATATCAGACGTTGGCCTTAAAAGGCCAAGGTCTGATATTTCTCTGCACAGACCGAGCAAGCGAGGTTAATAAATGTTTTATTTATTATGACTCTCGTCTGTGTCTTTACCAATGCTTCTGAGATATTTGTGAAGTATGTTCATGTCTGACTTGGTTTTGTGTGATACGCGCTGTGGACAGATTGTCATGGTAACGGTCCGTGGAAAGATATGATACGTGCTGTTCGGACTTTGGTTGGACGTTATTTATCTTTGCAGAATTTGTCCAATCTTTAAATTTACATAAAGATCAAACAACAATTTGATAATTTGGCATTTCCTCAGTGTGGATCAAGATAAGATAAACCTTTTATTAGTCTCACAGTGGAGACATTTCAGTGTCATCGTTGCACATTACAGCAGAGAAAGGAAATAAGAGCACTCAGATTGCACACAAAGTCTATTATTTAAGATAATAGACAATACATTTAAGATAATCTGGGCTATAATTGCACTTGGTTCGGAGTATTTACAGATGTCTATATTAAGAATCTTATTTTAATGCTACATTCTTCTAAGCTGCTCTTTCCACCTGCAACTACATCACTGTAAACTTCATCCTGAACGAGACAAAGAATTTTTATTTCAAACCGTTCAGAAAAGCTCCAATCATTTCTTCAGACTTCTACACACTTTGACTTTTGTCTCGTCTTAACATTTTCTTTTTCTATTCTTCTCAGGGACCTGAAGCCGGGGGAGGAGGTGACCTGGAAATAAATCTATATTTATGTGCTGTAAAAAATGACTTTAATTGTATCGTAATAAAACCATGATCTTTCACAGAAAAACTTGTCTCAAAACGTTTATTCGACAAAGCAGCTGCAGATCACTCAGTCGCACCAACAAATGTCTTTGTACAGTTAAATCTGCAGTTTCAGACCAGAAACAACGATCACAGAGGCTCAGTCTGGATGATCCCTCGTTCAAACAGCGACTCCACCAACGCAATCTGCTCCGGGGAAAACAAAATGTTTCAGACCGAACTTAAAACATTCAATTATGTCAACTTTACCTTGTCCTCTGTAGAATCCATCGGGACACTTTCAACAGACACAAATTTGGGATAAGAATGAATGATGTACTCGATGGCATCTGTGTTCTGTGGAGAAAGATTTATTTTATTGATCCAAAAGAAATTATCGGTTGCATTTATACAGAGTTGAGATAAAAAAATAATTAAAATGACATTCATTATTTGACTTTTTCAATGTTCCAGAGCTTATAAGTTTATTTTGAGTGAATAAGTTCAAGAAACAAAAGTAGAATATCAATAGTGCATAAATAACCCTGAGTTACATATAACATTGTATTATACAAACTTAGATACTTTAAACGGAGTGGGAAGAAAAAACTGTATTCAATCCCAAGTTCTTCAAACATAAATTAGATTTGTTTAAACATGGGCTCGAATGAACATTTATTTTTATATTTCCTCTTATTTTCAAGATAGATATTTCTACTGTTCTATAACTTGTGATGCAACACTGAAATTTGGGACGAATAAAGGATCTCTTCATCTTCTTTACTCAATGTATTTAATTACACAACTAAGCCTTCTATGGACAAGTGTTGAACATTAGCCTGGTCTCGCTAACACTAAAGGCAGTGCATCTGCTCTGTCCAATGTGACTGTGTCCATATCAAATAAATTAATAAATAGAAAAAGTAAAAAAATGGCAGACAGCAAAACAAGAAAAACAATATACTAAAGCAGGGGTGTCCAGACGAACCCAGATTGTTAAATTCACTGTTTTTGGGCTGTTCTGGATGTGAACTGGGAACACCCTATGGATTATTAAAGGGCACTGTGGAAAATTCATTTAATAGATGGATACTTTATTGACCCCTGTAGGAAAAAAATCAAGATAACATTTAAAGTAAAAATATGTAAAATGTTCATGTCTCATGGATTTGTTGTTGACAAAACTCTTGTCTATTCAGCTGTTATGGTCCCAGCTGGATTCGTCTGCATATCTGGCAACCTGAGTCAGAGAGAGTGGGGGAGGCTGCAGTACCACTTTTGGCCACATTTTAAAATACTGCTCCTTTAATAATAACATTTTTAACACTTCTCCTCCATCATAGCATGAGGATTTGTCAGGGCGTTTGAAGTTTGAAAAGAGAGCGTTTGGACAGAAGGTGCGGGCCGTTAGTGTCCGGTACAAACCTCCACCTGCACTTCCAGACTTTTGAGCTCATCTTTGTGATAAACTCTGGAGTTGTTTGTCGTGTAGTAAAGACTGACCACGTCTCCATCGCTGCACAATCTGAGACACGGAAACAAGAACACATTACAGAGAGATCTACAGCCTCGGTCCTGGGTCTACAGCCTCGGTCCTGGATCTACAGCCTCGGCCCTGGGTCTACAGCCTCGGTCCTGGGTCTACAGCCTCGGTCCTGGGTCTACAACCTCGGTCCTGGGTCCTGGGTCTACAGCCTCGGCCCTGGGTCTACAGCCTCGGCCCTGGGTCTACAGTCTCGGCCCTGGGTCCTGGGTCTACAGCCTCGGCCCTGGGTCTACAGCCTCGGTCCTGGGTCTACAGCCTCAGGTCCTGGGTCTACAGCCTCGGTCCTGGGTCTACAGCCTCGGTCCTGGGTCTACAGCCTCGGCCCTGGGTCTACAGCCTCGGTCCTGGGTCTACAGCCTCGGTCCTGGGTCTACAGCCTCGGTCCTGGGTCTACAGCCTCGGTCCTGGGTCTACAGCCTCGGTCCTGGGTCTACAGCCTCGGTCCTGGGTCTACAGCCTCGGTCCTGGGTCTACAGCCTCAGTCCTGGGTCTACAGCCTCAGTCCTGGGTCTACAGCCTCGGTCCTGGGTCTACAGCCTCGGTCCTGGGTCTACAGCCTCGGTCCTGGGTCTACAGCCTCGGTCCTGGGTCTACAGCCTCGGTCCTGGGTCTACAGCCTCGGTCCTGGGTCTACAGCCTCAGTCCTGGATCTACAGCCTCAGTCCTGGGTCTACAGCCTCGGTCCTGGGTCTACAGCCTCAGTCCTGGATCTACAGCCTCAGTCCTGGGTCTACAGCCTCGGTCCTGGGTCTACAGCCTCAGTCCTGGGTCTACAGCCTCGGTCCTGGGTCTACAGCCTCAGTCCTGGGTCTACAGCCTCAGTCCTGGGTCTACAGCCTCGGTCCTGGGTCTACAGCCTCAGTCCTGGGTCTACAGCCTCGGTCCTGGGTCTACAGCCTCGGTCCTGGGTCTACAGCCTCGGTCCTGGATCTACAGCCTCGGTCCTGGATCTACAAAGACCGGGCAGACTTAAAGGGTCTGGACTGGCAGCGACACACTCTAAAACACAAACCTACAGCAGGAACCAGGGCGAGTCCGGAGCGAACACCCGGAGATCGGGGGAAATATAAATAATTCCAAGTCAAGGGTAAAGAGCAATTTTTGTGCCAAGATTTTTTCAAAGTAGTAAAATGTGAAAGGACGAATGGAAATATGGAAATATGGAAATGGAATAGATGTAATCCATCATTTTCAAGAGCTGACCTTGTTTATTGTCCTCAGCTAATGGTGGTGTGTGTGCGTGTGTGTGTGTGCGTGCGTGGCTTGTGTAGGTAGTGTGTGTGTCTGACCTGGCGCATGCGGCTCGGACCAGTCTGATCTTGGTTTGTGCAGTGATGGGGGATCCCACCTCCAGAGTGCGACCGCGGTGCCACCTCGCCGGGGCCCCCAGGACCGTGCACGCCACCTCCTCTGTTACCATGACAACACATATGAACCAGTGATTATCTACACCAGAGGAGTCCAAACTGCAGCTTTTGTATCAAAAGCAGACTCCACCCATTTCCTCAAATCTTCAGGTCAAGACTGAACCATGGATCTCTAATAACATCTGGATAAGGCATTACTGCAGTGAGCACACGCCACTGATCTGAACAGGCCGCCATCTTTGATCAGCAGGTCTGCTCCGATGCTGGGTCTGATAGAAACCCTGCAGCCGGTTTGGACAATCATGTACCCATAGTTTGTATTTTAATCCTTGAATCCTCACTGATCTCTAACCAGATTATTAACTGTATTTTCTTCATAATGAATGAGAGAATCAACAGTTAAAACATAAGAAACACACAGAGCCGAGATAACTTCTGTTGTGATTCAGGGCGATACACAGATGAATGGAACTGAGAGAGTACCTGGGGAGAGCACGGGGGGGAGGCAGTCGTGCATGAAGCTCCGTGCTTTCAGATCCACCGCGGCGTCGACCGGAGCGTACTGCGCCAGCTTCTTCATCAGGCCTTCAACGCGAGACATGAACTTCCCTCGCCGCGGGTCGTCCTCCTGCACAGACCCCGACAGTGAATACCAACTAACCCCAACCCTGGCTTCCATCACATCTCAAGCTGCACATACACAGTGGGGTTAAGTGTCTTGCCCAACGACACAGTGACAGCAGACCTCAGCGGGAGTCGGTGGAGAAGGTCTCGTGGTGGACTCAAACCCACAACCTTCAGGCCAATGCTCTACCAACAAAGCCACTGTTGCCACTGTTTGTTTTCCTCTGGTTAGAATCTCCACTAATATAGACTTTCCACAAAACTACGTACAGAGCAAAGTGTGAGCTATTCTCAGGTTTGTAATGCGGCTTATCTGTGTTTTTTTATTCATTTATTTGAACTAGAACAGTGCACATCAATCAACATGTGTCTTTCAACAGGTAAATGTGCCAGAGTTAGCATGTAGGCTAATTGTTTATCCGTAGTCCCATGGCAGGTTGATCAAAACAGATACAAAATACATACAACAGGCACACACAAACACACACGCACACACACACACACACACACACACACACAAAAACATGTGGTAAGATATGTAAAATAGGTAAATTAGCTCAGATAAAAGATCAAAGGGACAGTGGGTGTGACTTTAGACCACATGTCCACAAGCCACTTCTTTAAAGAGTTTTGCACATAAACTTTTCGTACATAGACATATTGATATGAAGCATTTACAGCTGTCATGTTGTATTGTCTCACTACTGTTCTGTGAGTGCAATGCAACCCTGACATTTCCCCCCAGTCTGTTGTGTTGTATTGACCTTGTCTGAGTTCTGCACCCCCATGTAGGAGAGATAGTCCAGGGGCAGGCCCTGTCTGTACTCCACGTCCTCCTCCATGGCGATCTCCAGAGCAGCAGGCACCATCTGCACAACACACACACCTCTTTATCTGTCTGCATCACTAGGATTTGGACTGTAGTCTGTTCATTGCTATTCACCCCTTGTCCCATTGTCTGTTTCATGGCGCGACAACGGGACCTCATCTACACCTGCGGACTGCCCTGCCCGACCCGCCTGGGAGTGCTTCTGTCCTGCACCGGACCTGTCCACGTTCTGTAGCTTAGGTTCCTGGATCTACAGCCTCAGTCCTCGTTCTACAGTCTGAGTCCTGGATCTACAGCCTCAGTCCTCGTTCTACAGTCGGAGTCCTGGAGCTACAGCCTCAGTCCTCGTTCTACAGTCTGAGTCCTGGAGCTACAGCCTCAGTCCTCGTTCTACAGTCTGAGTCCTGGATCTATAGCCTCAGTCCTCGTTCTACAGTCTGAGTCCTGGATCTATAGCCTCAGTCCTCGTTCTACAGTCTGAGTCCTGGATCTACAGCCTCAGTCCTCGTTCTACAGTCTGAGTCCTGGAGCTACAGCCTCAGTCCTCGTTCTACAGTCTGAGTCCTGGATCTACAGCCTCAGTCCTCGTTCTACAGTCGGAGTCCTGGAGCTACAGCCTCAGTCCTCGTTCTACAGTCTGAGTCCTGGAGCTACAGCCTCAGTCCTCGTTCTACAGTCTGAGTCCTGGATCTATAGCCTCAGTCCTCGTTCTACAGTCTGAGTCCTGGATCTACAGCCTCAGTCCTCGTTCTACAGTCTGAGTCCTGGAGCTACAGCCTCAGTCCTCGTTCTACAGTCTGAGTCCTGGATCTATAGCCTCAGTCCTCGTTCTACAGTCTGAGTCCTGGATCTATAGCCTCAGTCCTCGTTCTACAGTCTGAGTCCTGGATCTACAGCCTCAGTCCTCGTTCTACAGTCTGAGTCCTGGATCTATAGCCTCAGTCCTCGTTCTACAGTCTGAGTCCTGGATCTACAGCCTCAGTCCTCGTTCTACAGTCTGAGTCCTGGATCTACAGCCTCAGTCCTCGTTCTACAGTCTGAGTCCTGGATCTACAGCCTCAGTCCTCGTTCTACAGTCGGAGTCCTGGAGCTACAGCCTCAGTCCTCGTTCTACAGTCTGAGTCCTGGAGCTACAGCCTCAGTCCTCGTTCTACAGTCTGAGTCCTGGATCTATAGCCTCAGTCCTCGTTCTACAGTCTGAGTCCTGGATCTACAGCCTCAGTCCTCGTTCTACAGTCTGAGTCCTGGAGCTACAGCCTCAGTCCTCGTTCTACAGTCTGAGTCCTGGATCTATAGCCTCAGTCCTCGTTCTACAGTCTGAGTCCTGGATCTATAGCCTCAGTCCTCGTTCTACAGTCTGAGTCCTGGATCTACAGCCTCAGTCCTCGTTCTACAGTCTGAGTCCTGGATCTATAGCCTCAGTCCTCGTTCTACAGTCTGAGTCCTGGATCTACAGCCTCAGTCCTCGTTCTACAGTCTGAGTCCTGGATCTACAGCCTCAGTCCTCGTTCTACAGTCTGAGTCCTGGAGCTACAGCCTCAGTCCTCGTTCTACAGTCTGAGTCCTGGGTTTTAGAGTTTTTCCTCTGATGCAGGAGTCTGTTGGACAGTTATTGTCCAACTGTGATGATCCAGGACACTTTAACATTCTACAACATGTATGGACCATCAACACTCATGGACATTGGTCTCTCCCTATGGACTAATACCATGTGTGTATTATTTTTCTTAACTGTTGATTCTCTGATCTGTGTTGGTGATTTCAATGGTTTTGTTAAGTCTCTGAGATGACACTGTTGTGATTTAGGGCTATACAAGAATAAATTGTATTGTATTGTTACTGCCGCCTTCACTGTCATCGAGGGACTGTGTGGGGGCCGAGTGGGGACCGTGTGTCAACCGTGTGGGGACCGAGTGGGGACCGTGTGGGGACCGAGTGGGGACCGTGTGGGGACCGAGTGTGGACCGTGTGGGGACCGAGTGTGGACCGTGTGGGGACCGAGTGTGGACCGTGTGGGGACCGAGTGGGGACCGTGTGGGGACCGTGTGGGGACCGTGTGGGGACCGTGTGGGGACCGTGTGGGGGCCGTGTGGGGACCGAGTGTGGACCGTGTGGGGACCGAGTGTGGACCGTGTGGGGACCGAGTGTGGACCGTGTGGGGACCGAGTGTGGGCCGTGTGGGGACCGTGTGGGGACCAAGTGTGGGCCGTGTGGGGACCGAGTGTGGGCCGTGTGGGGACCGAGTGTCGACCGTGTGGGGACCATGTAGGGACCGTGTGAGGACCATGTGGGCACCTTTAGCAGCAGGTCCCCCCAGCTGTTCTTCTGGTAGGAGGAGATCGTGATGTGCATGGAGTGGTGCTCGGGCAAACAGTCCCCCTGGTGGATGAAGCCTCGGGGGAAGTACAGGAGGTCCCCGGCTTCTAGCACCACCTCCAGGATGGGCTCCCCGATGTCCGCCTGCGAGAAGTTAGCTAAACACACAACACCTGCAGAAGTTTGCTAAACACACACACAAGACCTGGAGAAGTTAGCTAAACACACACACAAGACCTGGAGAAGTTAGCTAAACACACACACAAGACCTGGAGAAGTTAGCTAAACACACACTCAAGACCTGGAGAAGTTATCTTATTTATATAGCACATTTTCACAGACCAAGGTCATCCAAAGTACTTTACAATGTTCAGAGTTCAGATATTGTTCCATTCTCTCTGCACTGGTCCATTAAAGCCTCAGACCAAACACCATTCATTCACTCACAGTACATTCAAACCTATTGTGGATGGTTTTAGTGGAGGGGAAAACTGGAGCACCTGGAGGATTCTAACCCAGGACCTTATTACTGAGAAGCGAGACTGCTAACCACTCAGCCAACAAGGCTTGAAAACACTACTTAAATTTTTGAATGTCTGTCACTTTAAAAAACAAATCTCAAATCAACCATGACGTCATACTATTCAAGTAACTCAAACTTTGGGCCATCTTTAATAGTTCTCGTCTAATTTACAGAAAGCCTTTGTCTCTAATCACTTTTAAACTGAAGCCTTTTCAAATTAAGATCAAGTCAAAATGAAGCATTTATTAAAAAGAACTTACGGCTCGACACAACAGGAAGCACCTCGTCTTCTGATCTGCAACAAAACGTTTTAAAAATACAGCAAAAAGTCACCACAGACTGAGTGTGTAGTTTCTGTACCTGTGTCTGTAGTGTCTGTAGTGTCTGTACCTGTGTCTGTAGTGTCTGTAGTGTCTGTACCTGTGTCTGTAGTGTCAGTGCCTGTGTCTGTACCTGTGTCTGTAGTGTCAGTACCTGTGTCTGTAGTGTCAGTGCCTGTGTCTGTACCTGTGTCTGTAGTGTCAGTACCTGTGTCTGTAGTGTCTGTAGTGTCTGTACCTGTGTCTGTAGTGTCAGTGCCTGTGTCTGTACCTGTGTCTGTAGTGTCAGTACCTGTGTCTGTAGTGTCTGTACCTGTGTCTGTAGTGTCAGTGCCTGTGTCTGTACCTGTGTCTGTAGTGTCTGTACCTGTGTCTGTAGAGTCAGTACCTGTGTCTGTAGTGTCTGTACCTGTGTCTGTAGAGTCAGTACCTGTGTCTGTAGTGTCTGTACCTGTGTCTGTACCTTGGTCTGTAGAGTCAGTACCTGTGTCTGTAGAGTCAGTACCTGTGTCTGTAGTGTCTGTACCTGTGTCTGTACCTTGGTCTGTAGAGTCAGTACCTGTGTCTGTAGTGTCTGTACCTGTGTCTGTAGTGTCTGTACCTGTGTCTGTACCTTGGTCTGTAGAGTCAGTACCTGTGTCTGTAGTGTCTGTACCTGTGTCTGTAGTGTCTGTACCTGTGTCTGTAGAGTCAGTACCTGTGTCTGTAGTGTCAGTGCCTGTGTCAGTACCTGTGTCTGTAGTGTCTGTACCTGTGTCTGTAGTGTCTGTACCTGTGTCTGTAGAGTCTGTACCTGTGTCTGTAGAGTCAGTACATGTGTCTGTACCTTGGTCTGTAGAGTCAGTACCTGTGTCTGTAGAGTCAGTACCTGTGTCTATAGTGTCAGTACCTGTGTCTGTACCTTGGTCTGTAGAGTCAGTACCTGTGTCTGTAGTGTCAGTACCTGGGTCTGTAGTGTCAGTACCTGGGTCTGTAGAGTCAGTACCTGGGTCTGTAGTGTCAGTACCTGGGTCTGTAGTGTCAGTACCTGGGTCTGTAGTGTCAGTACCTGTGTCTATAGTGTCTGTACCTTGGTCTGTAGAGTCAGTACCTGGGTCTGTAGTGTCAGTACCTGGGTCTGTAGTGTCAGTACCTTGGTCTGTAGAGTCAGTACCTGGGTCTGTAGTGTCAGTACCTGGGTCTGTAGTGTCAGTACCTGGGTCTGTAGTGTCAGTACCTGGGTCTGTAGTGTCAGTACCTGGGTCTGTAGTGTCAGTACCTGGGTCTGTAGTGTCAGTACCTGGGTCTGTAGTGTCAGTACCTGGGTCTGTAGTGTCAGTACCTGGGTCTGTAGTGTCTGTACCTTGGTCTGTAGAGTCAGTACCTGGGTCTGTAGTGTCAGTACCTGGGTCTGTAGTGTCAGTACCTGGGTCTGTAGTGTCAGTACCTGGGTCTGTAGTGTCAGTACCTGGGTCTGTAGTGTCAGTACCTGGGTCTGTAGTGTCAGTACCTGGGTCTGTAGTGTCAGTACCTGGGTCTGTAGTGTCAGTACCTGGGTCTGTAGTGTCAGTACCTGGGTCTGTAGTGTCAGTACCTGGGTCTGTAGACTCTCCAGTGCTTCTTTCCTTCCAGTTGAACGATAAACGCCTCAATGTCGTCGTAGTGAGGAGCGAATCCCTGTGTCCCCGGAGGAGTCAGGTACCTGTAGCACAGGGACCGGGACCGTGAGCACAGGGACAGGGGCCGAGAGCACAGGGACCGGGACCGTGAGCACAGGGACAGGGGCCGAGAGCACAGGGACCGGGACCGTGAGCACAGGGACAGGGGCCGAGAGCACAGGGACCGGGACCGTGAGCACAGGGATAGGGGCCGTGAACACAGGGACAGGGGCCGAGAGCACAGGGACAGGGGCCGAGAGCACAGGGACAGGGGCCGAGAGCACAAGGACCGGGACCGTGAGCACAGGGATAGGGGCAGTGAGCACAGGGACAGGGGCCGTGAGCACAGGGACAGGGGCAGAGAGCACAGGGACAGGGGCCGAGAGCACAGGGACAGGGGCAGAGAGCACAGGGACAGGGGCAGAGAGCACAGGGACCGTGAGCACAGGGAGAGGGGCCGACTATTCCAATGTGGTTTTACTGCAAATGGCAAATAATATGAATCTGTGTTTTTATCAATAAAAGTTAAGATAAAACTTCATTTGTCCCTGAGAGGGAATTTCAATGTCATAGTTAGACATAACAGACCAGAGAGAGACCAGAGAGAGACCAGGAAGAGACCAGAGAGAGACCAGAGAGAGACCAGAGAGAGACCAGAGAGAGACCGGGAAGAGACCAGAGAGAGACCAGAGAGAGACCAGGGAGAGACCAGGGAGAGACCAGGGAGAGACCAGGGAGAGACCAGGGAGAGACCAGAGAGAGACCAGGGAGAGACCAGAGAGAGACCAGAGCGAGACCAGAGAGAGACCAGGGAGAGACCAGAGAGAGACCAGGGAGAGACCAGGGAGAGACCAGGAACCAGAGAGAGACCAGGGAGAGACCAGAGAGAGACCAGGGAGAGACCAGAGAGAGACCAGGGAGAGACCAGAGAGAGACCAGAGAGAGACCAGAGAGAGACCAGAGAGAGCGGAGAGAGACCTGAGAGAGACCAGAGAGAGACCAGAGGGTCTTACACGTTGGCTCCGGCCATGCTCCCAAAGTGCTCCTGCAGGATGGACAGGACGTTCCACACGGAGGAGGAGAAGGCCTGAGGGTTCAGGAGGCGCAGGGAGCAGCCACTCTGAGACACACACAACACACAGTACAACAACACAACACACAATATAACACACACACGGACACTATAACAACACTACACACTGTAGTAGTGTCTGTTACCTGGTCTCTGGTTTCTCTCTCTCTGGTCTCTCCCTGGTCTCTCTCTCTCTGGTCTTTCTGTCTCTGGTCGTTCTCTCTCTCTTTGGCCTCCCTCTGGTCTCTCTCTGGTCTCTCTCTGGTCTCTTTCTGGTCTCTTTCTGGTCTCTCTCTCTGGTCTCTCTCTCTGGTCTCTCTCTCTGGTCTCTTTCTGGTCTCTTTCTGGTCTCTCTCTCTGGTCTCTCTCTCTCTGGTCTCTCTCTGGTCTCTCTCTGGTCTCCTTCTGGCTGCTCCCTCTACTCTCTCTCTCTCTGCTATCTCTCTCTGGTCTCTCTCTCTGGTCTCTCTCTCTGGTCTCTTTCTGGTCTCTCTCTCTGGTCTCTCTCTGGTCTTTCTGTCTCTGGTCGTTCTCTCTCTCTTTGGCCTCCCTCTGGTCTCTCTCTGGTCTCTCTCTGGTCTCTTTCTGGTCTCTTTCTGGTCTCTCTCTCTGGTCTCTCTCTGGTCTCTCTCTCTGGTCTCTTTCTGGTCTCTTTCTGGTCTCTCTCTCTGGTCTCTCTCTCTCTCTGGTCTCTCTCTGGTCTCTCTCTGGTCTCCTTCTGGCCGCTCCCTCTACTCTCTCTCTCTCTGCTATCTCTCTCTGGTCTCTCTCTCTGGTCTCTCTCTCTGGTCTCTCTCTCTGGTCTCTCTCTCTGCTCTCTCTCTCGGTCTCTCTCTCTGGTCTCTCTCTCTGGTCTCTCTCTCTGGTCTCTCTCTGGTCTCTCTCTCTGGTCTCTCTCTCTGGTCTCTCTCTCTGGTCTCTCTCTGGTCTCTCTCTCTGGTCTCTCTCTCTGGTCTCCTTCTGGCCTCTCTCTCTCTCTCTGGTCTTCTTTCTGGTCTCTCTCTCTCTGCTCTCTCTCTCTGCTCTCGCTCTGCTCTCGCTCGCTCCTCTCCCTCTGCTCTCTCTCTGCTCTCTCTCTGCTCTCTCTCTCTCTCTCCGGTCTTCCATAAGATAAACTCAACACAACACTATGCAGCAGTTCCTAAACTCAGTCCAGGAGGAACCACACTAACACTAACACCACAGTCTTACGTCGTAGAAGTCCCAGACAGAGTAGGGCAGAGCTCGGCCCGGCGGGTTGTGCGTCTGCCGTTTGCCCCGAGTGTAGCTGGTGACGTCCAGGTTCACGCCATAGTGGACCTCCTCCTGCGGGTCACAACATTCTCCTTCATTGTTCTTGATTGGCCGACACAGATCAGAGACTCAGACTCAGACCCGGGTCCTGGAGGGTCCTGGAGGGTCCTGGATCATCTCTGTCCTCGGACCATCGTGATTATTATCGTTAGAACTTAGAGAACGTACTTGTCTCAGGATCCGGTCGAACTCCGCGGTGGAGAACAGACCTTTGTAGTAGGACGGGTTCTGGCGCTGGACGATGATGGGCTTCTTCTCCCACGTCTCTCTGCAGCAGAGTGGAAAAGGACGAATGTTACCGCAGTAAATTATATTAAATTAAATTGGATTATTCACAGCCATTTTAAAGATAATTTATTGTGAGTCCTGGGTCTAAGTCCTGGGTCTAAGTCCTGGGTCTAAGTCCTGGGTGTAGTGAGTCCTAGGTCTAAGTCCTATGTCTAAGTCCTGGGTGCAGGTCCTGGGTGTAGTGAGTCCTGGGTCTAAGTCCTGGGTCTAAGTCCTGGGTCTAAGTCCTGGGTCTAAGTCCTGGGTCTAAGTCCTGGGTCTAAGTCCTGGATCTAAGTCCTGGGTCTAAGTCCTGGGTCTAAGTCCTGGGTGTAGTGAGTCCTGGGTCTAAGTCCTATGTCTAAGTCCTGGGTCTAGGTCCTGGGTGTAGTGAGTGCTAGGTCTAAGTCCTGGTTGGCCCTGGGTCTCGGTCTTGGGTCCGGACCTGAAGAAGGCCTTGGCCGGGATGGGGCTGATGAGCCACTGGAACAGGCGGCTGGCTCGGTCTCTGCTGTTGTTGACTCCTGATAACTCCTTCAGCAGCGACTCCAGACTCTCATTGCGGTCTGCAGCCTGCTCCTCCTGGTCCTCCTGCTCCTCCTGGTCCTGCAAACACCCACAGTGGGGAAATTTCAGGGTTGCATCGCCAGATACAGAGTCATAAATGTGTACTCTGCACTTTATTGTCCCCGTAGGGAAATTTGTCCTCTGCATTTGACCCATCCTGATGCCACTAAGGCCTGGACTCCACCGGGCGCGTCTCCGTTGACGCACGGCGGCGGCTGCTGCCCGTCAGGCTGCAGCCGCTCTGTCTGTGCGTTTATCAGCTTTGATTTCAATAGAAGAAGCGGCGCATGAGCTGTGGCTATGGTGTGTGTATGTGTGTGTATGTGTGTGTGTATGTGTATGTGTATGTGTATGTGTATGTGTATGTGTATGTGTGTGTGTGTGTGTGTGTGTGTGTGTGTGTGTGTGTGTGTGTGTGTGTGTGTGTGTGTGTGTGTGTGTGTGTGTGTGTGTGTGTGTGTGTGTGTGTGTGTGTGTGTGTGTGTGTGTGTGTGTGTGTGTGTGTGTGTGTGTGTGTGTATGTGTATGTGTGTGTGTATGTGTGTGTGTGTGTGTGTGTGTGTGTGTGTGTGTGTGTGTGTGTGTGTGTGTGTTAGACGGGGACAGAGCGAGAGAAAAAAGAGCGAGAGTTTAGTGTATTAACATTACGCGAAAAATAAATGGTAGATTTACGATCAGGAAACAATTATTTAAATTAATACATGAAAAAAATGACACACATTTGTTAATAATCATTGTCATTGACAAACACTTATAACAAGGACTACAGCATATATCAATGTTTAATAATGTGGTAAATATATGATTTTCAATGGAAAATGGACCCAACACGCGTCGACGGAACAAATAGGATTGTTTCTATTTCGTCCGTCCACGTCTTTTGCACCCTCCGTTGACGGAATAGGTCCGACGTGCGTTGGACGGACGCATGCGGAGGCAGTGGAGCCACTTCCATTCACCCTCATGGAGATAACGGAGACGGAGATGAAACGGACATGTTTGGACGGATCCGTCGTCCATTTTACGTGCCCGGTGGAGTCAGGGCCTAACGGTGCTTTCAGACCGCCAACGCTGAAACGCTGAAGCCCCGCTCACCAGACGCGCATTCTCTAGTTTTCAGACGCAGAGGACTTCACACCAGAACGTCCTGACGCGAGCCGGAAGTACCGGAAGTAGCCGGCTCTGATGCTAACAGAGCTATGCTAGCGGCTTCTTGTGCACAGATCTTCTCCAATATGCAGCTTTGCAGAGTGTCTTTGAACAGAGACATTCCACGGGCTTTATACAACAGTAGTTCGTGTTCACGGAGGTGCGTTTTTTCATATTATTAAACATTATTTCCGCATCGGCGAACACACTCGAAGCAGTTGCATTAGGTCACGGGAGCATGACAACACATATTTTCACAAGCACAGAGTCCCCCATTGTCAGCCCTGGTTTGAGTTCTGGTGAAGTCTGGTGTGGGTCCTGTTTTGGCTGTTTACAGTATGTTCAGTCTGCTCGCTCAGTCCGCTAATGTCCCCGTGACCACTTTGCTGCTCTCTGATTGGTTGTCGCACGAACGTCCCAAGGAAAGGATGAGCAGAATCCATCTCCTGTGGGCGTAGATTTTTCGCTCGTGCCTCCTTTTCACTTTCCCGCCAAGTCCGTGCGTCTCTACTGAACAGTCCGTTCGTGCGAACCGAGAGGTCCGTGCGTTGTGACGGTCGAACGCGCGCCACCATAGACTTTGCATTGAAACCCGACGCAACGTATGATCCGGTCTGAAAGCACCATAAGGCTCCCGGGGGCCCGTAGTAACAGTGCCCGGGAACCCATCTCCGGATGTTAGGATTTAACCTAGTGATATATTTAGTGGTGGGGAAAGCCGGAGCACCCGGAGGAAACCTATGCAGACACAGGGAGAACATGCAAACTCCACTCAGAAATGCCCTGTTCTGACCAGGATTCGAACCCTGGACCTTCTTGCTGAGAGGCGAGAGTGCTAACCACTCAGCCAACGTGCCGTCCTTAACAACTACAGCTTTAGAAGAATAAAGACTCTGATCCAGCCTGTGTTCTGAACATAGACTGTAAATATTGACAGTCTGTGGCCAACTAACTAATGGGCCAAAAATTGGGCTCTCATGGAGTGATTCAAAATGGCCGCGGGGGCTGGAAAATGTGAAAAAAAGCATCTATGCAGCGTCAGCTGCACGAGCCCCATTCATTTGAACGAGAGACTTCTAAAGTCCACAGCGACTAAACTAGACTGGTCCAGAACACTCAGCATTGACACACATGTGGAACGGAGCTTTGGGCCAAGAGACAACTTTTGGTCCATCCTGTAAAGGTGTTTTCGAGAGGTCTGCCAATGCTATATGTTAGCATTGGCTAATTCTACTTCTGGGTCCACCCCCACAGGCCCGGGGTGGTACTGCAGCATGTCAGCGCACGTCATTTTGGCCACTGCCGCTGACATGTACAGATGCGAGACAGATTCGGATCGGGTCCCAGTCCTGGTCTACACTGACTGCCCATTTCATGAAAACACTGACCTTCGGGCTGTGGTCTGGTTTCAGCGCAACCTTCGTCGGAGTCTTTGTCGGTTTGTTGTGGATCTTCCTCTTCTTGGCGCCGCTGTCCTCACTGTTACTGTGGTGCACGACGCCATTGGACTTCTTCTTCTTCTTCCCAGTCACCTTCAGAGAGTTTGGGAACATGTTGTTTTGATATTGTCTTTGTAAATCCAGGTGTGAGCCTTCCGAGGATGGACCAATCAGACGCCTTCATTCGCATCCTGTCCATGTTCTGACGTTCCAATGGGTTTTAGTGTGGTTCTATAGCTTCACTAAGGCAGAGAGAGACCAGAGAAAGACTAGAGAGACCAGAGGGACCAGAGAGAGACCAGAGAGAGACCAGAGAGAGGGAAAAGAGAGAGACCAGAGAGACCAGAGAGAGACCAGAGGGACCAGAGGGAGACTAGAGAGACCAGAGAGAGACCAGAGGGACCAGAGAGAGACCAGAGAGAGACCAGAGAGAGACCAAAGAGAGACCTGAGAGAGACCAGAGAGAGACCAGAGAGAGACCAGAGAGAGACCAGAGAGAGACCAGAGAGAGACCAGAGAGAGACCAAAGAGAGACCAGAGAGAGACCAGAGAGAGACCAAAGAGAGACCTGAGAGAGACCAGAGAGAGACCAGAGAGAGACCTGAGAGAGACCAGAGAGAGACCAGAGAGAGACCAGAGAGAGACCAAAGAGAGACCAAAGAGAGACCAGAGAGAGAGCAGAGAGAGACCAGAGAGAGACCAAAGAGAGACCAGAGAGAGACTAGAGAGAGAGACCAAAGAGAGACCAGAGAGAGAGACCAGAGAGAGACCAAAGAGAGACCAAAGAGAGACCAAAGAGAACTTATGTTGGTCTATGTCAGAGACACAAGCCTAGACCTCTGCATCATTTCTCATCGTCTTAATTTCTTTAAATGAAGATTATTGAAGGCTTAATCTTTCTTGTTTTTTTCTTTATTATTGTCTGTAACATGTGCCACTGAGGGACCATTAAAGGATCTATACTTTCATCTGAAATGAAATATAACTTTTTTTGCCAACAGCCAAAACGTTTCAAAATGTAATATACAAAATCAAAACATTTACATTTATGTCTTAAAACATTTAACAACAAATTCGGACTGGAGAAAAACATTGAAACTAGATATGACCCTGACAGCAGGATTCTAATGTGGCCCTAGACCCTCCTGCAGCAACAAGGACTGGTCCTGATCCTGGTTTTGGTCCAGGTCTAGTTTTCATGCACCTGTACTTATTCCTCACATGTTTAGATCATCTTTTTCAGACAGATCAGAGAAGAAGAGAAGACCACTCTGTAACACACCCTCAGCCAATCAGCTGCCAGCCCAAAGAGTCCAATAGTGACTCTCAGGGCTCTCCCTTTCTTGTAACTATTATTATAACTTGTCATTCCCGGACTTGGCACGTTGTTGTTTGCAGCCTTTGCGACTTCCACACTAATCATTATTGATCCATGCAACTTCTGGTCCCGCACTTGCCGCAGTGAGTCGCGCCGCACATGGTCAGAGACTGGACTTCACGACAAAACACAAAATAGTTTTAGTTTGGTCTTGTACCTGCGGAGAGGGCTTCTTCGCGGCAGGAGACGGCTCTGAGGACAGATTTCGATAAAGAGAATACGCCGACATGTGTTTTCTCTCCATTTCGCTCGTCTCTGTTGTTGTTGACGTCATCAATCTGCGACGACGAATTGTAAACGCATGGCTGCATCCAATTTCTAAAATATAAACATATTTCTCTATCCTATTCTTTATCCTTTATCATATCCTCTCTTTTGCAGGATGTACGTTTTATCTCACTGGAGTTTAAAGAAGAAATAGGAGTTTTTAATGTTATTCAATGTTCGAAGTGCATTCATAATCGATGTTAAAGGAAAAGAGAGGCTAAGAAGCGGATTGATAAGGAGGTATCTTTTAAGAATTTGGATGTAGCCCGTGTTCTTACCCGTTAGCGCCTCTATGTGGACACTTTTATACTTGTATATGTATCTATTTACTTATTTGACTGGGACTGTACGTGTCAATGAACATATATGGTTGAACATATTGCCAATCTATGGTATATATACATTTACAATCAATAATATAAAAAATAGATTTACAAGATCTATACACAGGCATACTCAGTAATGTGATATTAGTAGTTGTAATCATTGTAACTTGTGTGTGTGTGTGTGCTTGCGTGCGTGCGTGCGTGCGTGCGTGTGTGTGTGTAAACCTGGCATTTATCGAGTAATCACTATATTTAATCATAATTGAGCCAAACTCATGATAAAAATGGTAGGTTTTATTTAACATAAATATGAGGAACAATCTACAGTCGCTGAAGTCACAGTAGGATCATGTGTGTCTCTACAGATAGTAGATGGAGATGTCTTCCCTGGTGCCAGACTGATGGTGTCCTCTCTGTCTTCCCTGGTGCCAGACTGATGGTGTCCTCTCTGTCTTCCCTGGTGCCAGACTGATGGTGTCCTCTGTCTTCCCTGGTGCCAGACTGATGGTGTCCTCTGTCTTCCCTGGTGCCAGACTGATGGTGTCCTCTGTCTTCCCTGGTGCCAGACTGATGGTGTCCTCTGTCTTCCCTGGTGCCAGACTGATGGTGTCCTCTGTCTTCCCTGGTGCCAGAGTGATGGTGTCCTCTGTCTTCCCTGGTGCCAGAGTGATGGTGTCCTCTGTCTTCCCTGGTGCCAGACTGATGGTGTCCTCTGTCTTCCCTGGTGCCAGACTGATGGTGTCCTCTGTCTTCCCTGGTGCCAGACTGATGGTGTCCTCTGTCTTCCCTGGTGCCAGAGTGATGGTGTCCTCTGTCTTCCCTGGTGCCAGAGTGATGGTGTCCTCTCTGTCTTCCCTGGTGCCAGAGTGATGGTGTCCTCTGTCTTCCCTGGTGCCAGAGTGATGGTGTCCTCTGTCTTCCCTGGTGCCAGACTGATGGTGTCCTCTGTCTTCCCTGGTGCCAGACTGATGGTGTCCTCTGTCTTCCCTGGTGCCAGACTGATGGTGTCCTCTGTCTTCCCTGGTGCCAGACTGATGGTGTCCTCTGTCTTCCCTGGTGCCAGACTGATGGTGTCCTCTGTCTTCCCTGGTGCCAGAGTGATGGTGTCCTCTGTCTTCCCTGGTGCCAGACTGATGGTGTCCTCTGTCTTCCCTGGTGCCAGACTGATGGTGTCCTCTGTCTTCCCTGGTGCCAGAGTGATGGTGTCCTCTGTCTTCCCTGGTGCCAGACTGATGGTGTCCTCTGTCTTCCCTGGTGCCAGAGTGATGGTGTCCTCTGTCTTCCCTGGTGCCAGAGTGATGGTGTCCTCTCTGTCTTCCCTGGTGCCAGAGTGATGGTGTCCTCTGTCTTCCCTGGTGCCAGAGTGATGGTGTCCTCTGTCTTCCCTGGTGCCAGACTGATGGTGTCCTCTGTCTTCCCTGGTGCCAGACTGATGGTGTCCTCTCTGTCTTCCCTGGTGCCAGACTGATGGTGTCCTCTGTCTTCCCTGGTGCCAGACTGATGGTGTCCTCTCTGTCTTCCCTGGTGCCAGACTGATGGTGTCCTCTCTGTCTTCCCTGGTGCCAGACTGATGGTGTCCTCTGTCTTCCCTGGTGCCAGACTGATGGTGTCCTCTGTCTTCCCTGGTGCCAGACTGATGGTGTCCTCTGTCTTCCCTGGTGCCAGACTGATGGTGTCCTCTGTCTTCCCTGGTGCCAGAGTGATGGTGTCCTCTGTCTTCCCTGGTGCCAGACTGATGGTGTCCTCTGTCTTCCCTGGTGCCAGAGTGATGGTGTCCTCTGTCTTCCCTGGTGCCAGACTGATGGTGTCCTCTGTCTTCCCTGGTGTCCTCGCTGTTATCCTGTTGTTCTCAGACTGTCCTTGGAGGCTGGAATGTGTTGAGGGAGTGAGACGGAGACGATAAGGCCACACCTGCCCCCAGCCTCAGAGAATGACATAAACAAATTAGATTATTCCATATTTTTAACAACTTTGCGACCCATCTTCTCCAAATCCCCCCTGGCCACAGACTTCAGCCTCGTCCTGGCTTCCAGCTCAGACACGGCCTTCGTCAGCTCCCTCTGCTTCGCCTGCATCTGGGTCAAAACCTCAGCGTGATGAGCGAGCATGGACTCTAGATTTCGGTTTTCAGCCAACGCTTTCTGCACAAACTCCTTCGACTGGTGACTGTTCAGTTCCAGGATCAGTGTTAACTCCTCGACTCTGCCCACCAACTTATAGAGTGCCAGCATAAGAGCAAAACATAAAAGCAGAGTCGCAGCCATCATCAGAAACTTCAGCTGAAAGGCCCGCAGAACATACGGGCTCTCACTGGACGCATACTTGGGCAGATGTACCATGAGCCAGGAATCTTGGTGCTCCCGCTCCTCTTCTCCACGGGAAAAACTCGCATTGACCGACCAGACCAAATCCATCATGGAGAATCGAAAATGGGGCGATAGAGGGTCTGAAAAAGTCACTGTGAAACCAGAGTTTAGAGAGAGTCTGAGTCTGAGCAGAAAAGTAGGAGGGGTAATGAGGCTGATAAGGTGGATTTGGGCGTTTCAAATCTACACTGAAGTTTTGGACAAGTTAAAAGTCTTGAAACCCATATAACAATACCTCAATAACTCAACTACAGTTTAAAGCTGGGGCACTTTAGATTTGGTATGAAACATGTTTACATCCGAAGAAAGAGAAACATGGGAACAAATCAGACCACCACAGTCTTCATCATATAAAAAGCATATATCTTTTGAACATGTGTAAGAAAGATCCCTGAGAGTCGCTTTTTGACACTTTGGGATGAGAGCTGAATGATGAGAGGGAGTGGGTGGTCCTCTTTTTTATCAATTCACTTGTGAAAAAGGCTGATTTAAAGATGTGACAGAGGCTAAAAATGTAAAAACTAGTGACAGAAGAAACCTGTTTTGAGAGCGAGAGGAGATTTCATAATTTTGCGTACTTTTTCTTATGGTGGTTTGAAAGTTAGAGACCTCAGCTTTAATAAATATTCAATGATTTATAATTATCGTATAAATATCACACGTTTCCAATGTTGTTTTACTGCAAATGTCAAACAAACTAAATCTGGATTAAAACTTGCGCCTCCTAAACCCACCAGCAGATGGCGCCACCACACCGCTCTCCCGGACCCCTCGCGTCTGCTCAGTCCTCTTTCCCACAATGCCTTGCAGCGTGTCCAGTCTGCTGCTGCTGTACCAACACCTCCAACACCTCCGGTCCAGCTTCCATGGATCCGTGACCCCCTGAGCCTTCCCCCCGGGGTCCCACGGAGCCCTCTGCCCCCGGTGTCCTGGATCCTCTCCCGGGTGAGTGTGGCCGTCGGTGCGTGAGCTGCGTAAAGGGTTGTGTTGTGACCAGAGCTGGGGTTAGCCGTGCTGCTAATTGGCCAGATGAGTCGCAATCCCGTAAATGCACGTTTTTCGTCCACAAAACCCGGGGACAGGTCGTGTTTGCGCCGCTTTGCAGACTCCAACGAGCACGCATTTAATTGTATAGCACAAGTCATGGACGAGGCAAAGTTCAATTATACCAAACACAGGTCAAAAATGCAGAAAAACGGGAAAAAAATGCTCAAAAATGCAGTTTAGATGCATCTATATGCAGTGATTTCGAATTAAAACAGTAGCATTCAAGTATTAGGCTTAAATCTATTCTTACAATTGAGGTTAATTTAAAAAAAAGCAGATTTTAAGCGTTTTGAAATTGTGTAAAAAAGTTGAATTCCTGTTGTTTGCTCTTGTCGTTCAGGAAGGGGTTAAACTTTAATTGTATGGCACTAAGAGAGATTCCCGTTACTCTTACGTTACGTTACGTTTGCTCTGCTGGGTTTTTGGGTCGTTTCTCACCGATACAGAAGGGTGTTAGGACATCATTTAAAGGCATATAAGAGGATTTTCTACTTCCGGGTGGATCATCAAGACTATTGGTCCTTACAGTTGTCAATCATTCCGGGAAAATCCTCCCATTTACCTTTAACATTTCTGGGACGTCCCGCTTTGTTATTATGACATTAATTGTGTTTGAACGGTTTGATTTTCTGATCTGTGTTTGCGGAATCGGCAACTTTTAACATTTAACATTTCACTTTAGGTACGACAGTGTGACATCACCACAGTGTTAGCCTTAATGAAGCTGTTTTGAGCTAAAGCTAGCTGCAGCTAATATCCTTTTATGGGCAAATGTGTTGCTAGGACGGTTGCTATGGCGAGCTGGAGTTGTCCCCATGAATGAAGGCAACTGATACCTCTGAAGCTAAGCAGGGCAGGGCCTGGTTAGTGCTGTGATGGGAGACCTCTGGGAACAGCAGGTGCCACAGTGGGACGGCTGTGGCTGTAAAGTGCCAAACTGTGGTTGTGTCCTTAGGCAAGACACTTCCCCCACATTAGAATGAGTCTGGTGTGTGTGTGAATGGTTGGTGGTGGTGGGAGGGGCGGATGGCACAGACTGGTTGCCTCGCTTCTGTCAGTGTGCCCCAGGGCAGCTGTGGCTACAGTAGTAGTTTATCACTACTGTGTGTGTAGTGAAAGAATAATGAAGTGCCTTTGAGTGTCCAGGAGAGAGCTGTATAAAACTGATTTAGTAAGTAAGGTATGTTTATTTAATTAGCGCATTTTTACAGACCAAGGTCACCCAAAGTGTTAAGATATTATCTGTTCTCTCCCCACGGTGACGACTGAAGCAACCCTGAACACACTGGTCCATCAAAGCCTCCGACCAAACACTCACTACATTCAGACAATTGCACATGTTTTTAGTGGTAGGGGAAACCTTGGCACCTGGAGGAAACCTATGCAGACACCTGGAAAACACACAAACTCCAATTAGAAAGACCCTGTTCTCACTGGGATTTGAACCCAGGACCTTCAAGGATTTATTATTTTTATAATTAACACACACACACACACACCTGTAGGTGGTTAGCAGCCTGTGGAGTGGTCTCTCTCTTGGGCCTGTGTGTTTTTTGGGCCAGGGAATTTTAACGAGTTCATCTCAGACACTGCTGCTCCATAAAGTCCTCACTCGCCCCGGGGTCTGTGGACTAGATAGACTCTAGACCAGGGGTGTCCAAACCTTTTAGTTAGCGGGCCACTTTAGTTCATCAGACTTGACCTGAGGCAGACAACCTGGATTTAAAAACTGGATTCTGGAATTTAGAATGAGCAGGGATCGCACACCTAAAAATGAATGAATGAGGTGCAGATGTGAGAGTCAATATTTCAGAAAACAGGGAAGCATCGCACGTTTCAGCTTTATGCCTTCATCAGATCAAGTTTTTCTTTTCCTTTTGACCACAAAGTACAAAGTGGTTGCCAGCCCAGGTGCTCATATGCCTCCAAATAAGTGGGAGGTCCCAGTGAAATCGCCTGGTGAGGTCAGCCTGTTTCTTGGACTCTGGAATTCAAAATGGTTTATGATTAGCCTGGTCTTATCCATCCGTACTCTCCGCTCAGTCATCATGTCCTGCAGGTAACGTCTGGGTCTGGTCCCTGTGTTGGAGATTACAATTGGTTGAATTCCATCCGACCAATCAGAGAGCACTGGAGGCGGGTGTTGTAGTTAGATGTGGGTGACGTCAAGAGTTTGCGCTGAACGGGCAGGTTGTAGTTTGGTGAAAAATGCGATAGTAAAGTATTCTGGTCTGGTTCTATCGAGAAACTGAAGCCGGAGCGAGAGGAATGTTTAACAAATGTAATTATTGGCAAAGATTGTGGCTCTACTCCCTACGGGCTCCGTTAGTGGCAAAGGAGATGGCTAAAGCTAGGCTAAATGCTAAATGCCTCACTCACGAGACCTTCTCCACCGACTCCCACTGGTGACTGCTGTCGTTGTGTCCTTGGGCAAGACACTTAACCGCACTTTGCCTGAAGCCCTGCTGAAAGATCTCAGCTCCTGTGGACTCACCACCTGCAGGAGGATCAGTGAGGGGCTGGTGCTAAGTGTACTGGGTGCAGCTCTGACTGCCACCCCCCGACCCAGAAATGGATTAAGGGGAAGAAAATGGATGGATGGAGTTTGTGAGTTCTGAACTAGAGGGTTAGCATCGTCTGTGACAGGCTCTGACAAGGGAGCAGCTGAAGGTTCAAATATGACAGTTTTACAGTGTACGTTTTATTAAGCTCCAGTTAAACCCAGTGATGCCCCGGGACGGAGGTGTCACGTCTGCCCCGGGACGGAGGTGTCACGTCTGCCCCGGGACGGAGGTGTCACGTCTGCCCCGGGACAGCGGTGGCGGCCGAGGCCTTGGATCATTGTGCAGGTGGGATCCCTGTTAAGAGATAACTCACACATTAAGTCCTCTGGGTCAGGCTCTGATGAGTCTGGCCCATTTCCCACAATCCATCAGTGTCTGGAGGGCGTCCCAACTGCGTCCTGGGCCCCAGCGTCTGCAGGTGGAGTGAAGAGGGCCCCTGGGAATGTCTGCCAAGTGGAGATAAGAAAGAACACAAGTCATTCGAGAGAGAGAGATGATTTAAGAACTAGTTTCTTGATTTCTTATGGCTGTCGGTCTCTCTCTCTCTGGTCTCTCTCTCTCTGGTCTCTCTCTCTGGTCTCTCTCTCTGGTCTCTCTCTCTCTGGTCTCTCTCTCTCTCTGGTCTCTCTCTCTCTGGTCTCTCTCTCTCTCTGGTCTCTCTCTCTCTGGTCTCTCTCTCTCTCTGGTCTCTCTCTCTCTGGTCTCTCTCTGGTCTCTCTCTCTCTCTGGTCTCTCTCTCTCTGGTCTCTCTCTCTCTGGTCTCTCTCTGGTCTCTCTCTCTCTCTGGTCTCTCTCTCTCTGGTCTCTCTCTCTCTCTGGTCTCTCTCTCTCTGGTCTCTCTCTCTGTCTGATACTGAGACAGATGACACTGGATCCTGAGCAGAAATAATTGTTGCTTCTTTTTCCTTTCCTTTTGTCGTGTCGGTGTCACATAAGTCCATGTTTGTGTGACACAATCAGAAACCATTGTTTCATTTTTCCGTATCATCATCTTTCAAACAATATATTTATGAACAAACATAAACGGAAGAAAGAAAAAAAAAACATATTTCTTGTCTCTGCTTTTGCTGTTTGTAAAGACGTGCAGCTCTCAGTGCAGCTCTCAGTGCAGCTCTCTGTGCAGCTCTCTGTGCAGCTCTCTGTGCAGCTCTCAGTGCAGCTCTCTGTGCAGCTCTCTGTGCAGCTCTCTGTGCAGCTCTCAGTGCAGCTCTATCTGCAGCTCTATCTGCAGCTCTCTGTGCAGCTCTCTGTGCAGCTCTCTGTGCAGCTCTCTGTGCAGCTCTCTGTGCAGCTCTCTGTGCAGCTCTCTGTGCAGCTCTCTGTGCAGCTCTCTGTGCAGCTCTCTGTGCAGCTCTCTGTGCAGCTTGGATGCATAATAAACAGTCATCGCCGAGTCTGAGTCTGAGCTGTGACAGTTTGAGTCCTCAGTCCTTGTAAACGTCTCAGAATCAGGTCGGCCCCCGTGTGACAGCCCCCCCCGTGACAGCCCCCCCCCTTCCTGTGCGACAACAACAACAATTTATTCTTGTATAGCCCTAAATCACAGCAGTATCATCTCAGAGACTGAACAAAACCATTGAAATTGCAAACACAGATCAGAGAATCAACAGTTAAGACACAAAATATACACATATGATTTGATGTCCATGAATGTCATACATGTTGATAAATGTCATACATGTTTAATGTTAAAGTGTCCTGGATCATCACAGTCCTTCTAGTTGGACACTAACTGTCCAACAGACTCCTGCATCAGAGGAAAAACTCACAAAAACCCAGTGGGAAAAAAAGTGAGAAACCTCGGGGAGACCCACGGTTTGAGAAAGGGATCCGCTCCCACAGACGGGCTGTGGATCCAGGACCTAAGCTACAGGACGTGGACCAATGCCACACAGCGGCCGCTGAGCGTGGACAGGTCCGGTGCAGGACTGAGGCGCTCCCAGGCGACAGGCCCCCCGTGCGTTAGGCCCCCCCCTCGTACAACAGACCCCGTTTCCTGTTTCCGTGGCTGAATTTTCTTTGATATTTTTACCTGAACTTTGTCCCTTGATCCAGTGATTACGTTTTTTAAAATATCGGCCAAAACTTCTTTCCATCGGGCCCAAGCTTGTACTGCTCTAAACAAGGGTCCAAAACTTCATTAGCCATAAGTAAAGGTACATAGGAGGATTTTCTACTTCCGGGTGGATCATCAAGACTATTGGTCCTCCCAAATGTCAATCATTCTGGTGATTCGTGCTCGTCCAATAAGAACAGAGAGGTTTGTTCAAAAAGTGGAGAAGGCGGTTCTTTCCTAAAATTTGGGAAAATCCTCCAATATACCTTTTAGTTTAGTTTAGTTTAGTTTATTTAGTTAAAAAAGGACCATGTAAAATTAGAACATAAATGTTTCCATTTGATGCATTGTACCCGAGTTAGCCTGAGGCTAATTTACATCTGCAGTCCCTGGCAGGGGGCGGACAACCCAGAACAAGACAAACAACAGATCTGAATAAAACATCACCAAAACAAACAAACAAAGTCAGTAGCGTCGGGAGAGTGAGACCAAAAAGCCACATTGGTGCTAATGTGTGCATTTTTGGCTGCTTTTTAGGTGTTTTTTGAGTTCCGTTTTGAAGCCCTTGATGGTCGTGCAAGTCTTTATAGTGTCCGGTGGTTGGTTCCACAGAGTAGTGGCCTTCACTGCAAAAGCTGATTGACCAAAAGTGGAGTGACGCAAAGGTACGATGCAGTCATGTGGAGAAGCTACTCTAGTGGATCTTAAGGACCTCAGAGCGCTGTTTCACGAAGGTTTGAAAACAGCCAGGGGCCAAGCCCTTCAGAATCGTGAAAACCAAACATAGACATGAAAAAGTTTTAATAAAAACAATGTGTTTAAACCATGAGTACAACTCTGAATGATGTCAGGGTCGACCTGTAACACACATATCCACATTCTCTCACATTTAAGGCCAAAGTAAATATTCTCAGTCCTGTTTAAAAGCCAAAATCAACAGATTCTGCATAATATTTGTTCTTTATCTTTGAGGTTGTTCTGTTCTGAGCATTGAGCAACTTTCATTTAAATTATTTAAATTGTTTTTCTTCTTTTATAATTCATTATTAAAATGTCTCATTAACAAATGCACTGGATATTTTATTATTAAAGGTTTACAGAAGGATTTTCCCAACATTTAGGAAAGAACCACTCTCTCCACTTTTTGAACAAAACTCTCTGGTCTTATTGGACGTATCACCAGAATGATTGACAGTTGGGAGGACCAATAGTGTTGATGCTTAGCCTCAGGGTTCTGACAGTATCCAGTTTTCTCCTGCAGGTGGCGCCACACTGTACATGACAGTTTCATTCCGTCGCTTCCAAACCGTGATGTAGAAACGGGGACAGGACCCGGAGGACTCTTGTTAAACTATTTTTACATGAACCCGAACGATGATGCAGCAGAAGCTTTTGTTACGTCTAAGACAGGCATGTCCAAACTCAGGCCCGGGGGCCATTTGCGGCCGTCAGCGTATGTGGCCCTCTGCCTTGCTAACCCAAAGAAGTTCACAGTGTCATTCAGCCAACTTCAGCTCAGCCGATACAGACATGTGGTACCTCGTTCTAAAGCCCAGTACGTCTGGACTTCAGTCGTGGTTCTTGTGAGCTGGTAAACATGTGTCATTCAGCCAACTTCAGCTCCATTATAGATCATGTGTCCTTCGGTCTGAAGCAGCAGCTGCATCAGAGAAACTCGTCCTCAGACCTGTCTCCAGTGTGTGTGTCTGGTTGTCACTTCCTGTTGTCACGGTAACCGCCTGCAGAACGTGTCGGTCATGACAGACGTCTGATTTACCAGAAACTTCCCCTCCTGGTCTTTACTAGCATGGATGCAGTTGTAAAGCTGGCAGTGGCCTCTAATTTATCTATTTATTTATTTATTTTGAAGTAATTTTACACAAACAAGTCTACACAATGAAAACATACAAAACATAAAATACACAAAGATGAGTAACAAAAATAACATCAAACAATGAAAAGTAAAAAGTTGTTTCTGCAGCTGCGTCTCGTCCGTGGTTTTTTCTCAAACGTCGTCTTTGTACTTTTGCCCAAACATCTGCTGTGCCCATTGTTGCACTTCAGGAAGAGAATAGTAAAGTAGAGAAACTCCCGCTGCTTTTGTTTTTATGTGAAAACTGCAACAAGGAGAAGATTAGAGAAAAATACCTCAGATTTTGGATTTCACTTTGATCCAACTCTGAGCCGCTCGAGTCCTGACCAGAACCAGGAAGTACCATCACATTAGTCCAGTTCTCAGGTCTCGGGTGAAATGATGTTCTTTACAGATATGGCCAATTTGGAAAAAAAACAATCCAATTTGAGCTCCCCCTGGTGGCAGCAGAAGGAGTTACAGACAATAGAAAATATACAGTGAAACAACTATGAATGTATTATTTCACATTTTAAAACGGAGAATGACAAAGTAAACGTAAACCATGTGACCACACGCCTAGATCCGTCAGGAAAGTAGAACCGAAACCTGGTCTGTAGAAAAGCCCCCCCCTCCACTGGCGCACCTCACAGTCAACGACCCGCCTCTCGATCTACTACCCCTCTCTTCACCAATCTCTCTCCATTCTCTCCATGCGCTCACCAATGCATTAGGATTTATGACCAAAAAAAACCAGAATATTTTTACTTTCATATTAAAAAGCGTCAGAACTGCATTTTGATTGGAAGAAAACGCTGTCATGTGGGATCTTGTTTATATTTAGCTTTTCTTCAGTTTTCACAGTCCATCCTATGCACATGTGTGATACAACATACAACCTCTGCCTGTCGTCACGTATTTACACCAAAAACACATTTCCACCCAGTCTCATGAAGCTAACACAGAAAAGCACAGATGTGTTTACAGTCAATGGAGCAGACGCTGGACTCGGAGGCTGCAGCTGACCATAGACTGCTCTGATTCGCGGGTCAGTTTCTCCCGGCTGTCAATCATCTCTTGGAGGCGGGCTTTCGACATCACAAATTGTGTTGTTTATGTGCCTCAGCAGAATGAAAGAGAAAGATCGCTCTCTGACTAAAGCTTGAGAGAATCAATGAAAAATCAACTGTGGGCAAATCAAAAAGCCTAATATGGGACCCTTAAACTTTTTCACGGCCTTATGTTTACTGTCCGATCTTTTTCAAATTGTCTTAATCCTTCTGTGTGTGCACTTGAACCACAAGGCCTAAAGGCGTCTAATTATATGTATCATTTAAAACTAAGTATTGGCTTTAGTTTGAATGTGTTTCTACCTCTGGGGAAATCAAAAGCACCAACTGCAAAGTGAAAAAGTGAAAACAAAACCTCATAATTTGTGGCGAGACTAAAGTGCTGTGTTTTCAAAAGGCAGTGAAATATAAATACAGTGGTTTGGTGTAATTACTGCATCTGACCTGTCCCGGGACCACAGAGGAGCTAGCAAGGCTTCCATCCTTCTTTCGCTTTATCTGGTGCCGGGGCGCGGGGGCAGCAGTCTGAGCAGAGACACACACATGCTGCAGCTCATCTGGGGCCAGAGAGAGAGTCCCTCTGTGTCCTGGGTCTTACCCAGGTCTCCTCCCCCGGTCTCCTCCCCCGGTCTCCTCCCCTGGTCTCCTCTCCAGGTCTCCTCTCCAGGTCTCCTCTCCCGGTCTCCTCTCCCGGTCTCCTCTCCCGGTCTCCTCTCCCGGTCTCCTCTCCCGGTCTCCTCTCCCGGTCTCCTCTCCCGGTCTCCTCTCCCGGTCTCCTCTCCCGGTCTCCTCTCCCGGTCTCCCGGTCTCCTCTCCCGGTCTCCTCTCCCGGTCTCCTCTCCCGGTCTCCTCTCCCGGTCTCCTCTCCCGGTCTCCTCTCCCGGTCTCCTCCGTCTCCTCTCCCGGTCTCCTCTCCCGGTCTCCTCTCCCGGTCTCCTCTCCCGGTCTCCTCTCCCGGTCTCCTCTCCCGGTCTCCTCTCCCGGTCTCCTCCCCCGGTCTCCTCTCCCGGTCTCCTCTCCCGGTCTCATCTCCCGGCCTCCTCCCCCGGTCTCCTCTCCCGGTCTCCTCTCCCGGTCTCCTCTCCCGGTCTCCTCTCCCGGTCTCCTCCCCCGGTCTCCTCTCCAGGTCTCCTCCCCTGGTCTCCTCCCCTGGTCTCCTCCCCTGGTCTCCTCTCCCGGTCTCCTCTCCCGGTCTCCTCTCCCGGTCTCCTCTCCCGGTCTCCTCTCCCGGTCTCCTCTCCCGGTCTCCTCCCCTGGTCTCCTCCCCTGGTCTCCTCCCCTGGTCTCCTCCCCTGGTCTCCTCTCCCGGTCTCCTCCCCTGGTCTCCTCCCCTGGTCTCCTCCCCTGGTCTCCTCTCGCGGTCTCCTCCCCCGGTCTCCTCCCCTGGTCTCCTCCCCTGGTCTCCTCTCCAGGTCTCCTCTCCAGGTCTCCTCTCCCGGTCTCCTCTCCCGGTCTCCTCTCCCGGTCTCCTCTCCCGGTCTCCTCCCCCGGTCTCCTCTCCCGGTCTCCTCTCCAGGTCTCCTCCCCTGGTCTCCTCCCCTGGTCTCCTCTCCAGGTCTCCTCTCCCGGTCTCCTCTCCCGGTCTCCTCCCCTGGTCTCCTCTCCCGGTCTCCTCTCCCGGTCTCCTCTCCAGGTCTCCTCTCCAGGTCTCCTCCCCTGGTCTCCTCTCCAGGTCTCCTCTCCAGGTCTCCTCTCCAGGTCTCCTCCCCTGGTCTCCTCTCCAGGTCTCCTCTCCCAGTCTCCTCTCCCGGTCTCCTCCCCCGGTCTCCTCTCCCGGTCTCCTCCCCCGGTCTCCTCCCCCGGTCTCCTCTCCCGGTCTCCTCTCCAGGTCTCCTCTCCTGGTCTCCTCTCCAGGTCTCCTCCCCCGGTCTCCTCCCCCGGTCTCCTCCCCTGGTCTCCTCTCCCGGTCTCCTCCCCTGGTCTCCTCTCCCGGTCTCCTCTCCCGGTCTCCTCTCCCGGTCTCCTCCCCCGGTCTCCTCTCCCGGTCTCCTCTCCAGGTCTCCTCTCCCGGTCTCCTCCCCCGGTCTCCTCCCCCGGTCTCCTCTCCCGGTCTCCTCTCCAGGTCTCCTCTCCTGGTCTCCTCCCCTGGTCTCCTCTCCCGGTCTCCTCTCCCGGTCTCCTCCCCCGGTCTCCTCCCCCGGTCTCCTCTCCCGGTCTCCTCTCCAGGTCTCCTCTCCTGGTCTCCTCCCCTGGTCTCCTCTCCCGGTCTCCTCTCCCGGTCTCCTCTCCCGGTCTCCTCTCCCGGTCTCCTCCCCTGGTCTCCTCCCCTGGTCTCCTCCCCTGGTCTCCTCCCCTGGTCTCCTCCCCTGGTCTCCTCTCCCGGTCTCCTCTCCCGGTCTCCTCTCCCGGTCTCCTCCCCTGGTCTCCTCCCCTGGTCTCCTCCCCTGGTCTCCTCCCCTGGTCTCCTCCCCTGGTCTCCTCCCCTGGTCTCCTCTCCTGGTCTCCTCCCCTGGTCTCCTCTCCCGGTCTCCTCTCCCGGTCTCCTCTCCCGGTCTCCTCTCCCGGTCTCCTCCCCTGGTCTCCTCCCCTGGTCTCCTCTCCCGGTCTCCTCCCCCGGTCTCCTCCCCTGGTCTCCTCTCGCGATCTCCTCCCCTGGTCTCCTCTCGCGATCTCCTCCCCTGGTCTCCTCTCGCGGTCTCCTCCCCTGGTCTCCTCTCACGGTCTCCTCTCCCGGTCTCCTCTCCCGGTCTCCTCTCCCGGTCTCCTCTCCCGGTCTCCTCTCCCGGTCTCCTCTCCCGGTCTCCTCTCCCGGTCTCCTCCCCTGGTCTCCTCCCCTGGTCTCCTCTCCCGGTCTCCTCTCCCGGTCTCCTCTCCCGGTCTCCTCTCCCGGTCTCCTCTCCCGGTCTCCTCCCCCGGTCTCCTCTCCCGGTCTCCTCTCCCGGTCTCCTCTCCCGGTCTCCTCTCCCGGTCTCCTCCCCCGGTCTCCTCTCCCGGTCTCCTCTCCAGGTCTCCTCTCCCGGTCTCCTCCCCTGGTCTCCTCTCCCGGTCTCCTCTCCCGGTCTCCTCTCCCGGTCTCCTCCCCTGGTCTCCTCTCCCGGTCCCCTCCCCCGGTCTCCTCTCCCGGTCTCCTCTCCAGGTCTCCTCTCCCGGTCTCCTCTCCAGGTCTCCTCTCCCGGTCTCCTCTCCCGGTCTCCTCTCCCGGTCTCCTCTCCCGGTCTCCTCTCCCGGTCTCCTCTCCCGGTCTCCTCCCCCGGTCTCCTCCCCCGGTCTCCTCTCCCGGTCTCCTCTCCAGGTCTCCTCTCCCGGTCTCCTCTCCAGGTCTCCTCTCCCGGTCTCTCCCGTCTCTCTCCCGGTCTCCTCTCCCGGTCTCCTCTCCCGGTCTCCTCTCCCGGTCTCCTCTCCCGGTCTCCTCTCCCGGTCTCCTCCCCCGGTCTCCTCCCCCGGTCTCCTCTCCAGGTCTCCTCCCCCGGTCTCCTCCCCCGGTCTCCTCTCCCGGTCTCCTCTCCCGGTCTCCTCTCCAGGTCTCCTCCCCCGGTCTCCTCCCCCGGTCTCCTCTCCCGGTCTCCTCTCCAGGTCTCCTCTCCCGGTCTCCTCCCCCGGTCTCCTCCCCCGGTCTCCTCTCCCGGTCTCCTCTCCAGGTCTCCTCCCCCGGTCTCCTCCCCCGGTCTCCTCTCCCGGTCTCCTCTCCCGGTCTCCTCTCCCGGTCTCCTCTCGCGGTCTCCTCTCGCGGTCTCCTCTCCAGGTCTCCTCTCCTGGTCTCCTCTCCCGGTCTCCTCTTCCGGTCTCCTCTTCCGGTCTCCTCTCCCGGTCTCCTCTCCCGGTCTCCTCTCCCGGTCTCCTCCCCCGGTCTCCTCTCCCGGTCTCCTCTTCCGGTCTCCTCTCCCGGTCCTGTGTGGCTGCAGGTTTTCATTCCAACCATGCAGGAGCACACACCAGACTCCACCCATTTCCTCAGGTTAAGACTGGACTCGCTGGATGCCACTATCGCCCTGTTTAATTTGAACTGTATTTTAATATGTAATTTGTATGATTGTATTGTCGAGGACTGCAGGTGGAAAGTAGATGGGCCGTTTGAAATCTAGTGTGTTACCGTTTTACTTTTACATGTGTGTGTATTTTGTGCCTGTGAAGCACTTGGGCCTTCTCCTCAGACTCTCACTTTCGGGGCTCGGAGGCTGCAGCTGAAGTCAGAGCGTCCTGTAATTAGACCTGTGTTAATGAATGGGACAAACACATTCCCTGAACTCCAGGTCAGAAGGTGGCGCCACTGCTCATTACAGGGAAACAGTTAAACACGTCTGCTCCAATCATGGGGCTGGAAAGTCTCGTCCCAGAAGCACTTCCGGTTCATTGCTTTGATACAAACAGCTAGTGATGGCAATATGAAGCCCCATGAAGCCTTGAGGGATCGCAGCCTATTACTCGGCCCATGAGTCGAAGGCTCGGGGTGAATCATGCTCCACTACGCCATCATGTGGACAAAGAAATGTAATACATGCCAAGGGCCTATAACAAATGGTCTGAACATGGGCTGAAAGAATACAGCCAATGATGTGGAGACAGTTGTTATGTAAAATGTGCTTGTGTTACTTTGTTTATGTAAGTGCTTAATCTGCTTATGCAACTATTGACAGGAGTTGAAAAACAAACAATACAGTTATTCATTTTTATTCAAAAATAATAATTTTTCAAGAGTATTTGGACTCAAGCGATTTCTTTTTTTGCACAGTATTTCACCTGCCTTTGAAAGAACCCGTTCACAGGGCACAGAGGATGCAGGTGAACATAAATATGTAATGGCAAGTTTATATACATTTGGAAATGTAAACTTATGTTTGTCCCAATATTGAAGGGGACTTTCGAGTCGAGGAATATTTGGCTCCCCCAGGTATGTTTGGACCTCCACTGTAGCGTTGGCAGTTATGTTTGGGGTTTTGGTCTGCTGGCATGTCGTGTCAAAACGTTGCCACAGTTTGCTCCCTAAAACAGAATAAACAGGTTATAAGTGACTTATTAGCACAAATAGAGTATACATATTACCTTCAGCTACAGATGATGATGATGATGATGAAGCAGAAGCGGACAATGAAAGTCTCAAAACTCGAGCACATTCGCCAATCAATCTTTTTTCAGCTTCTGCTGCCTTATTGGGGTTGAAGAATCCAATCTTTTTAAATCTGGGATCAAGCAAGGTAGAGAGGGACATGATGCTCATTGATTGGAGGTGGCTGAGCTTGTCCCTCAGTTGTCTTCGCAAATACTCAGCCATGTCTCTGCTCTCAGGTGTTTGGATATGGCCGATCTCCTCTTCTTTCAAAGAAAATGCACATTAGGGTTAGAAATGTATCTAATGAACAAATACATTCAAATAAAATATATTTAGTGCAATTGTAGGACAATCATCAATTATTATCATGATATAAAATGGCCTACCCGAGACAGGTTCACCTGGGTTGGAATCCACTTTGCTATGCAAGGCACGATAGTGCCTTAGCATAGCTGAGGTGTTATTATTATAACCCAGTTGTTTGGAGCATAACAGACACTTCACCTGCAATTGAAAAAACTATTATTCAAACGTATTTATAACAGAGAAAAGTGAGCAAGAGAAATTATGTGTTGTCATATTTGTGTAATCTATTATTACAGAATTATTGATATGCCTTACCTTATTAGGTGAGATCTGCTCAAAGTGCTCCCAACTCTTGCCGGTTCCATTGCAAAAAAGAAGCTCAAATAGGATGCCAAATGAGAAGCGCAATAACCCAAAAACACACAAAGTGATGAAGGGGAATCCATTGCGT